CCTGCAGAGCGTCCTCAGAGAGGCCCGGCCCCGCAGCATGGACAACACGGAGACCCCCGACTGATGGAGAGACAGGAAACCCTCCACTGAGCGGGAGAAGAGCTGAGACAGAGAGAGAGGGATATGTACTGGATCATCAATGGTGAACAGACTGGATTTATATATATTTTCTTTTTCTTCAAAGTGTTTTTACATATACTAGTCAGCATTCACACATTCAGAGGCTGCCATACAAGGATAGCAGCGACACCTGTTGCTTTCTTCCCGACTGACACCAAAGTTATTATTATATTTCGGGACATGGAAGACTTTCTATCTTTTGGAGTCCATCTTTTTTTCCACATTATCGTTTTTGTCATTAGGACTGTCTAAGTTGTAATGTTATTATCTTTTGTATCTGTATAAACAACACCTATTTGTCCTGGGAGAGGGATTGCTCCTCTGTCTTTCCCCGAGGTTTCTTCCATTTTGTATTTTTAGTTTGGGGGGTTTCCGGACAGAGAGTGTCATATGCTGTACACACTGTAAAGCCCCCTGAGAAACATGTGATCATGGACCTTATAAATACGATTTGATAGATTAATCGCAACTACATTTCTTCTTTATTCAATATCAAATGAATCTAGACTCTTCTGTTTCGTACCGTGTTTCCGAGGTGAGTGCAGATCATCAGCAGCAGCATCATCAGGACCATCAGAGCCCAAATCTCCCTCCAGGACCCCTGCAGAACCTGAACCAGAACCCCCCACCTCCGCACAAACCTCAGGGAACCCAGCAGCTGAAACACAGAGAGGAAATGAGTCTATGAGTTATAAAGTATTGGAAAACAGTGGATTAAACTCTCATTTACCTTCAGAAGCAGCAGAGTGAGCAGGACAGCGGCACTCTGAGAACTCTTCTCTGACAGCAGGGCCGCAGGCAGGAAGTCCACGAAGCTGTCGGGATCGGATCGGAGCTAAACAATAACACACAGGTTATTAAAAAGTCACAAAAGCAACACAGAATATGGTATTTTTCGATATTTTTCTTTGTTATAAAAAGGGTTAGGCTGGTGTGTTTATGGCTGCTAAATCAAGCTAAAATAACAGGGGTCAAATGAAGTTGACACTGACTTGTTAGACATTTAACTACCACTAGTGAGCCAGAATAAATCTTGACTTATTAAGTTATTATTATAAAGGTTTTTTAAGTTGACTGTGATATTGATATAGAGAGCATATTAATGAATACATAACATTTTGATTAAACTGCATGAGTTTTGTGAGAGTTTATAAATGGAGGTTTTGATTGCAGTTAAACTTGGGAAACAATTACTCAAATTCATCAGGATTTGTCTATTTCATGGATCCTTCCTTCACACTGGATGTACGCAAGAAATTAAAAGCTTTCTTTCAAAGACTCAAGGTACACAGAGTGAGTAATTGATGAACAAATGGTCATTCTGTGGGTGAATAATCCTCTAAACGTGGTTTCTGTTTCTTCTCACCTCAGAAACACAGTTAGATGCCTGAGACAGGAAGCAGAGCTGTAGGATTGAGGTTGTTAGAGACAACAAAGCCAGGATGAGCTGGAACCAGTTTCTGAACCGTCGAAAGTACTGTGAGCGCTCAGTAAACATCGACCAAAACCCCCCGAACAACACGAGGAGAGCGGAGACCAGAAGAAGCACCTGCAGAAAGAAAGACATCGATTTTATCACTGAAATAATGTTTGAATCTTTTGCTAAATAATTTGTTTCATGTCTGATTACAATTATTTATGGTTTTACAGGGATTGCCGACTCATTCCAGGTTCTAAAGACTCATTCCTGCACCACTTTAATTGAAAAGTGTGTGTTTTACCGTGAGTGCCGCCTGCAGGTCGGGTCCAGAGTGAGGAGAAGGGATGAGGAAAGGAAGGATGGAGAGGAAGGAGGCGAGTCTCTGTGAGCGAACCCACTCCAGTTTTATGGAAACACACACAAACAAACCGGACTCTCTGTGGAAGTGCGTGAAGTCGAGGGAAAGGGTTTTAAACCTGGGAGGAAAATGGGATTTAAAACAAATCAGAAAACACAATAATTAGTGGTTTCATTTGAAAACAGTAGCATGTATTGTTTAATTTGCAGGGATGCATGTCATCTAGGTACAAAACTTGCAACACAACTGTATATATTTATATTAAAGTGGACCTATCATGCTATATTTGAATAATATAGTGTAGGACCATACCTATATAAGGCATATTTATATTATACTCAATTTGACATTTTTTAGCTCTGTTTTTGCAAGGGTTGATTCTGTGAGAACAGCACCATCTACAGGCCTGGCATATGTACTACAGCGTCTCCAGCGCTTTCGAACGGCAATGGCCGTGGCCGTCTCCTCCTGATTGGTGGAGTTGGCCCAATAGCCGTAGCGCCACCGTCCTGACGTCAGGACAGTGTTCAAATCTGGATCAGTTTTTATCAGATCCGTTGCAGCCCCTTTTTTAGAGATTTGGGTATGGAGGAAAATAGAGAGGGTTGTGTTTTCTGACACTTGGTGAGTTCCCTGGAACACCGGGGACACATATTCATGTATAAAAGACGTACAAAAGTGCATTTTGCATGATAGGTCCACTTTAAATGAATAAAAGTATATATATATATATCATCAAAAAAAGGTAATTTCTTTCTCTCATTCTGCATATTTTCTTGCTCATTCCGTAACTTATCCACTCACTGTTTGTTGGTCCAGTCGGCAATGTGTAAGTCATTGAAGAGCTGCTGTGTCGTTACGCTGCTGTTTCCCAGATACACAGTTTCCAGAGGATGGAGAGTGTGTGTGTGAGGATGGATAGTGTGTGTGTGAGGACGGAGAGTGAGTGTGTGCTGCAGACGGGGTAATCCAACAAGCTGAAGTGTTGGGTTTTGGTGAAGGTGAGGCACCACAGTTTGGATCATCCACTGCTCTGCATCTGACCAGCTGCATGAAGAGAGCATGGATGTAAATGTTGGATTGGTGTGTGTGTGTGTGTGTGTGTGTGTGTGTGTTTGTGTGTGTGTGTGTGTGTGTGTGTGTGTGTGTGTGTGTCATTTGACCATATACTTCTTAATTTTTTCGACATGTTACTCTATAACGACAACTTTTGATACAGTATAGTTTACATTTTATCAATGTTTTGTTCAATGTAAGATTTAAACCATCCCAACTTCGGCAACTGCTATTCAAAATCAACAGCAATGCATGCCACAAAATATCTTTCTTCCTGGTAGCATTTTGAAACTGTGTAAAAGTGGAGATTATAATGTCCAGAGGAACAAGCTGAGTCTGAAGGTTTTTCTAGATCACATGTTTTTTCTTTGTTTTCTATTTTTTATTACTGCCAAATTGTATTCCATATTTTATTCCATTCTATTTCTATGCAAAATACTGCTATATTTTACTATATTTTGTATTATTTGTATTATTTTTTAATGTTATTATAGTTTTCTTTAAATAGTTCTCTGTGTGTTTTTTAAAATGTTTATGTATGCACCATGACACCAAGTCAAATTCCTCGTACGTGTCAACCTACCTGGTGATAAACCTGTTGCTGATTCTGATTATTGTTTAGTGTTTCTACAGCTGAGTGTGTCCCTTACCCTGTGAGTGAGGTGAGGTTCTGCCCCCCCCCCTCTGAGTGAAGCTCCCGTCTGACGGAGGATCTGAGCAGCCGAGCATCTCTCTGCTCCACCCCGGCCTGATAGTTCAGCATCAGAACCAGAAGCAGGAAGGACAGCTGGCTCACACAGCGCTGCAGGAAACACGCATTAGATCATGGAGGGAGGTGGGAAGTAGTGGAGTACAAATACTTTGTTACTGTACTTAAGTACATGTTTCTGGTATCAGTACTTTACTCCACTACTTATTTTTCTGACCACTTTTTACTTTGACTTCTTACACTTTGAACACAAACACCTGTACTTTCTACTTCTTACATTTTGAACACAAATACCTGTACTTTCTACTTCTTACATGTTGAACACAAATACCTGTACTTTCTACTTCTTACATTTTGAACACAAATACCTGTACTTTCTACTTCTTACATTCTGAACACAAATACCTGTACTTTCTACTTCTTACATGTTGAACACAAATACCTGTACTTTCTACTTCTTACATGTTGAACACAAATACCTGTACTTTCTACTTCTTACATGTTGAACACAAATACCTGTACTTTCTACTTCTTACATGTTGAACACAAATACCTGTACTTTCTACTTCTTACATGTTGAACACAAATACCTGTACTTTCTACTTCTTACATTTTGAACACAAATACCTGTACTTTCTACTTCTTACATTTTGAACACAAATACCTGTACTTTCTACTTCTTACATGTTGAACACAAATACCTGTACTTTCTACTTCTTACATGTTGAACCCAAATACCTGTACTTTCTACTTCTTACATGTTGAACCCAAATACCTGTACTTTCTACTTCTTACATGTTGAACACAAATACCTGTACTTTCTACTTCTTACATGTTGAACCCAAATACCTGTACTTTCTACTTCTTACATTCTGAACACAAATACCTGTACTTTCTACTTCTTACATGTTGAACCCAAATACCTGTACTTTCTACTTCTTACATGTTGAACACAAATACCTGTACTTTCTACTTCTTACATGTTGAACCCAATACCTGTACTTTCTACTTCTTACATTCTGAACACAAATACCTGTACTTTCTACTTCTTACATTCTGAACACAAATACCTGTACTTTCTACTTCTTACATTTTGAACACAAATACCTGTACTTTCTACTTCTTACATTTTGAACACAAATACCTGTACTTTCTACTTCTTACATTTTGAACACAAATACCTGTACTTTCTACTTCTTACATTTTGAACACAGATACCTGTACTTTCTACTTCTTACATTTTGAACACAAATACCTGTACTTTCTACTTCTTACATGTTGAACACAAATACCTGTACTTTCTACTTCTTACATGTTGAACACAAATACCTGTACTTTCTACTTCTTACATTCTGAACACAAATACCTGTACTTTCTACTTCTTACATTCTGAACTCAAATACCTGTACTTTCTACTTCTTACATGTTGAACACAAATACCTGTACTTTCTACTTCTTACATGTTGAACCCAAATACCTGTACTTTCTACTTCTTACATGTTGAACCCAAATACCTGTACTTTCTACTTCTTACATGTTGAACACAAATACCTGTACTTTCTACTTCTTACATTTCCCAAACAGGCTGGTTCCTTTAGTTTGAATGTGTGTTTGGTGGCGTGATCATTATTATTTAGAGTCATTGCGTGCCTATTGATTTGAACACGATCCGTGTATCCATCATTTCCTGGTCTTCTCTAAAGAAGAGGGACCAATGAAAACGTTGTCATGTTGCCGTTGTTCAGCATGGAAACATTCATTAGCTAACAATGACATTATTGTTCTATTAATATAAAGGGAGGTCAGGTACTCTTTAAAACAGCTGCTAGTTATGGGTACTTTTTACTTACTTAAAAGCCCATACTTCTTTACTTTTACTTGAGTAATACCAGAGTATTTTTAGACACGAGTATCTGTACTTCTACTTGAGTAAAGGATGTGTGTACTGTTGCCATGTCTGCCTACCTGTGTATTAATGGCAAGAAGCAAATGAGGACATTGGTAAATATACAAATGTCCATTTAAATCTTAAACTTTGGGACCCTCTCACCCTCATGAGGGCCCTCAGAGCTCTGAGTTTGCGCGCCTCCTCTCTGGCCTGCAGCAGACTGAAGCCACAGGGGGGCCGGACCCTCCCTCCATCGTCTCCAAACCCCCTCAGATCCACCGAGCTCTGCAGAGCCAGATGATCCTCCACCTCTGGATCCACAGGCCTCCACAATAATGTGCAGATCAGAGCCTGCACACACACCTGAGCAGAGGAGAGATTAATATGAAGACGAGAGAATGCAATTCCTGGAGAAATTGTGGTATGATGCTGAAACGACAACGCTGGCTTGAATGTGTAATAAAAAAACTGAGCGTGTGTTATGCTGCAATAACTAGCTGATATGAATATTATGGATGTTCTTTCAAAGGTTCAGGTGTGTAACAGTCTTATGGCCTGTGGAATGAAACTGTCCCTGAGTCAGCATTCACACCAATGAAAGGAATAATCCACCTGAGATTTAGGAGTGATTTAACTCACCTTGAGAGGCTCCAGCAGCAGAGCAGAGGTGAGGAACGCAGAGAGAGACGACAGCAGCCACATGAGGACGAGCGCTCTGGAGAAGGAGCTGCCGTACAGTCCAATAACAGACAGAGAGGCGATGAGAAGTGAACCCAGCAGGGGGTAAATCACTGTGAGAGTCCAGGGGGGGAGCAGCAGGCCGGGGACACCTCGAGATACACCTGGGAGGAAGGGATGGAGCAGAAGATATCTCAAAGGTGACATAGATCATCAGAACTATCAAGTTTCTACATGCACTTAAAAGAAGACACATGGAAAGATTGTGGTGGTTTGCTAGAAGTAATAGATCAACACTTTAAATGGTTAACTAAAAGTAACGGATACATACTTGAAATGTCAGATAAACTCAAAGATAAACAGTTTAAATAGTTAGCCAAAAGTAATTGATTATTTAGTGAACACAGTTTAAAAAGTAGGCTAAAAGTTGCCTTATAGATAGATTGGTAACCTTATCAAATAATTAGTAATGAAGAACTTAGATCCTCGGTATCTAAATAGCTGTTTCAGGTTTGGTGGATGATTCCTGCAGGGTTGAGGGTGCTATAATATATGTTCATTTTAATTCATTTCCTATTTTATAGTTACTTAATCTGTATATAATTGTATTTTTTATTTTATATCTTTAATTGTATTAATCTCTAATCTGTGTGAATCTGTTCTGTCCTGTTTTTCATTCTCACCCTGTTGCTGTTTAAACTACTGAATTTCCCCACGGGATTAATAAAGGTCCATCTTATCTTATCTAGGGAGGCGTGTGGCGCAGAGGACTAGTGTGGCGCAGTGGACTAATGTGGCGCAGTGGACTAGTGTGGCGCAGTGGACTAATGTGGCGCAGTGGACTAGTGTGGCGCAGTGGCCTAGTGCGTTGGTGTTCGGATCAGGTGAGCACAGGTTCAAACCACACTGCAGTCAGCATGTCGTTGTGTCCCTGAGACACTTCACCCCAAATTGCTCCTGTGGGGATTGCCCACAGTTTTGAGTATGTAAGTCACTTTGGATAAAGATAAGAACACATTATTGTTATTATAAGATAAGATAAGATTACATTACATAACATCTAATGTTATGTAATGTAATCTTATCTTATCTTATAATAACAATAATAATACATGGGATTTATATAGTGCTTTTCCTAATGCTCAAAGAGGCTTAATACCTATGCGAGTGATGGAGGGGGACCTGCTGGAGTCTGGAGACGGACTGGGGAGGAAGGTGCTGGCCACCGAGTCCACAGAGATCACAGAGGGAGACCTGAAGAGTCCAAACACAGACTCACTGACCTCAGACCAGCTGCTGCAGGACCTACTGCGGCTGAAAAATAACACAACTTCACAGTCATACATATTCTGATAAACACTGATATGCATAAAATGGGATTTTTATGATTGACAGATGCTCACGTGGTGGAGAGAGAGGAGATGGTTCGAGGAGAGTCTCGCCCGCTGTCTGAGTTGCTGTGATGTAAATCTGCTGAGTCCTCTGATGCTGCTGCGATAGACATCAGAAGATCCTCCTCTGCAATAAACACACACACACAGACTTCTATATTATATACATATTTATATTTATTATCTGCTAATTGAAATTGGCAGTGAGGAAAAATATGTGACAATATCTAAAAGTATTGTGGAGCTGCCGAGAAGTCTTTGTTTGGTATACATTTTCTAAAAGTAATCAGACACTGATCAGTTATATTATATGTTTCAATGAAAATATGAATAATGTTTCCAAAATGGTCATTTCCTATAATATTCTAATTGCAATATCAATTAAAAGAATTGCAATTAGGTGTCATTTTTCCCAATCAGCCGTATTCTTGTTATTGGCTACAATGTGGGATTTTATAATAACAATTTAATTTGTACTGTAATGTTATTATCTACTCAATTAACCTGACGATTTGATCTCATGTTGCTTATTTTAAACTATACAACACTCACTCTGACACTGATTGCTTTGAGACGCACCAGATGCACCGTACATGATTATAACATTCATATTTTTCAGAGTGTAATTGAGCAGTTTCTCACCAGACAGCGTCAGAAGCGTGGTCAGATTCTGGCTGTGAACTTGCACTACGTTGCTCTTCATGTTTTGGTTTGTAGGCGTTTTGTTGGAGGCGGGGTGCAGCGAGGCGGATCTGCTTCTTCCTCCTCAGCTGACGGGATGAAAGTGAAGCCTTGCAGAGGATCGGGGTCTCAGTGATGCATGCTGGGAGGTTGAGGAGGCTGTCACATGACGGCCATGTTTCTACACCCCCCCCCTCCTGATGGGCTCTATCTTTCTGCGGGGCCAAACCGGACGCAGCCCAGAAGTCCAGAATACTGGAGTCCAACGCCTTGCTGTCCAGTAACTACAGGAGGTAAGGTAAGGTGAGGTAAGGTAAGGTAAGGTAAGGTAAGGTACGGTCAGGTAAGGTAAGGTACGGTCAGGTCAGGTAAGGTACGGTACGGTAAGGTCAGGTCAGGTCAGGTCAGGTCAGGTCAGGTAAGGTACGGTAAGGTACGGTGAGGTAAGGTAAGGTCAGGTCAGGTCAGGTCAGGTCAGGTAAGGTCAGGTAAGGTACGGTACGGTAAGGTAAGGTACGGTGAGGTGAGGTAAGGTAAGGTAAGGTAAGGTACGGTAAGGTAAGGTAAGGTACGGTAAGGTAAGGTCAGGTCAGGTCAGGTCAGGTCAGGTCAGGTCAGGTCAGGTCAGGTAAGGTATGGTACGGTACGGTACGGTAAGGTCAGGTCAGGTCAGATCAGGTCAGGTCAGGTCAGGTCAGTTCAGTTAAGGTAAGGTACGGTACGGTAAGGTACGGTAAGGTAAGGTCAGGTCAGGTCAGGTCAGGTACGGTACGGTACGGTAAGGTACGGTACGGTAAGGTAAGGTAAGGTACGGTAAGGTCAGGTCAGGTACGGTAAGGTACGGTAAGTTAAGGTCAGGTCAGGTCAGGTAAGGTACGGTAAGTTAAGGTCAGGTCAGGTCAGGTAAGGTACGGTAAGTTAAGGTCAGGTCAGGTCAGGTCAGGTCAGGTACGGTAAGGTAAGGTACGGTAAGGTACGGTAAGGTAAGGTACGGTAAGTTAAGGTCAGGTCAGGTCAGGTCAGGTCAGGTACGGTAAGGTAAGGTACGGTAAGGTACGGTAAGGTAAGGTACGGTAAGTTAAGGTCAGGTCAGGTAAGGTAAGGTCAGGTCAGGTCAGGTAAGGTACGGTAAGGTAAGGTAAGGTAAGGTCAGGTGAGCACAGGTTCAAACCCCACTGCAGTCAGCATGTCGTTGTGTCCCTGAGACACTTCACCCCAAATTGCTCCTGTGGGGATTGTCCACAGTTTTGAGTATGTAAGTCGCTTTGGATAAAGATAAGAATAAATTATTGTTATTATAAGATAAGATTACATTACATAACATCTAATGTTATGTAATGTAATCTTATCTTATCTTATAAGGTAAGGTAAGGTCAGGTCAGGTAAGGTAAGGTGCGTTTATCTGTAAAGCCCATTTTCAGAAACAGAGGCAGTTCAAAGTGCTTTACATCAACATTAACACTTAAGAAGACAACAGAAAGGAACACAATGGAATAACAGATTCAGAAAAAACATGCATAAAAGAATAGTTTAAAACAGTTTCTTCCCCTCCGCTACCGGCCTCATAAACAAGGCCCCCCCACTGACACCATACCGATCTCTTGTTTTATTCCATATTGTATTCCATTCCATTTCAATGTAAATACTGCGTGCGTGCGTGCGTGCGTGCGTGCGTGCGTGCGTGCGTGCGTGCGTGCGTGCGTGCGTGCGTGCGTGCGTGCTCACAGATGACGGGCCGGAGGAGGAGTCGGACAGAGACAGGAAGGACGGGCCGGAGGGATCTGATTGGCCGAGGAAGACGTCCATCTCCACAGAGTGACAGACGGGGGAGGGAGGGACGGACGTATCCACGGTTACCTGGAGAGGGTATCAAGTCAATGTTAAGAAATACTGTATACTGTAATAACATGATATATGGAAGTGGATTCCTGATACAGTGTATATTCATTTGTGCAGGAAAAGAGCAAATAATTATTAATTGCACCTTAAAATTGGTTCCTAATGAAGTCATTACAGTTTGTTTGTTTGTTTGTTTGTTTATCCATTATATGTTTATGATGCTTCAGTGAATAAGTATGCATGGATACAAAAAAAGAAACACTTAGTAAAAGAACATTCAGAAAAATAATAAATAAATGAAACTGACAAAATTACAAAATAATAGTTACATTTAAAAATAAAATGTAATATATCTTAAATAAAATAAAATAGTATATATTTTTACACACACACACACACACACACCACACACACACACACACACACACACACACACACATACACACACACCACACACACACCACACACACACACACACACACACACACTAAGATTAAACTGTTTGTCAAACAAATCTTTGTTCAAATCACACACACGTCTCTGTGCTGACCTCAAATGACCTCTAATCAGCAGCCACGCGCAGAAACAAACCACAGAAATCCAGGATTATATTCACCTGACTGTGAGACTTTCTGAAGAGGAAACAGAGGAACCACTGGAGAGGAAACACCAGAGCAGCGACCGTCATCCCAACAGAAACAGCCTCCATGTTCACCAGCAGCCGCACTGACACCGGGCCACTGAACACAGAACATTTGGGGCTCGTAAAAAATATGTATTTATAAAAAAAAGTCAAATTCTGAGTAAACATCCTCTTCTGAGAAAAAGTAAAAAATCTGCGAAAAAAAGTCAGATTCTTCCAAAAAAAATAAAGAAATATTAAATTTCTAAAAAAATAGTCAAACCAGAAAAAAAAATACATTGAATTTGTTAATTGAGGCCTGCCCTCCTACCTGAGTCCCTGTGTGCCCACGGCTCCGTACCACAGCGCCCCCAGAGCCAGGTACAAGTGCAGCACCACGGCACTACAGGTGACCCTCTGACCCCGAGAGAACCTGCTGTGGGGGGGGGCGTTCCCATAGCGACAGCCACAGGTGATGCTCCACCATCCCAAACACCAGCTGGGAGGAAAACACCCGACAAAACTGAGACAGCTCCTCTGGACCTGAGAGGAGGAAGACATGTTTATTTATCTGTTTATTTACCAAGGAGAGGCCGATTTATAGAAATGACTGTTAAACCACATTAATTCAGTTCAAAGCTCACATGAGGCCAGAACCTCCTTCTCCACGGATCCGTTCTTCTGGTTCTCCACAGAGAGCCAGTCCTCCAGCAGGAAGAAGAACATGTGGTCAGTCAGAGGGTCCCAGACCACGACTTGCTCCACAAACCAGGACGGGTCCAGACCTGAAGTAACACACACAGAGAAACTCAGTTAAAGGTCTCCTATCATGCATTTTAGACATCCCTCATATCCCTCTGTTTCCGCCCTGTTAGAGAATTGCTGATTCTGGGTCTAAAGCTTTACAAATGTATACCCAGAAACTCAGCTAAATGCTGCCGTGATTAAACGCCATGTTCCAAACCACATCAATGATTATGGAGCTCAAATGCTTTTTCTCTCTCAGGTTTACCACAAGCTGAGTTCCTTTTTTTATTTCCTGCTTCTTTACACATACTCTCTCCAGTACAGGTTAGCTCTGAGTGTTAGCGATGCTTGCTAATGTAAACAAAGACCATATTACATCCAGAACAGTCGCGCATTGTTTCTGATAGGGCCGTGGGTGTAAAGCCCGCCCACATTTCAGATATGATGTCATATAGGCAGAAAATCTGGATCAGCTCCGTTGTACCACCGTTTTCAGAGATGTGGGTACGGAGGAAAAGAGAGGGTTTTATTTTCTGACACTTTGTGAGTCTCCTGACACACCGGGGACACATATTTATGTATAAAAGACATCAAAAAGTGCATTTAGCATGATAGGTCCCCTTTAACATTTTTTTATCAATTGATATTTTGGGAAACTCCACCTACCTGTGTTATCGTGCCAGATGCGGATCTTCCAGACTTCCCCCAGGCTCTCGTCTGTCTCCAGGTGAAACATGTCGAGGCCTCCTCTCTGAAACGCTCCGCCGCTCCGCAGGTGGCGAGCGCCGCTCTTACTCACTCCGTACAGACTGATGCCAACGTGTGCAGTGGTGCCTGATGGGTAAAATACAGTATTAATTATTTTTACAATATATAGTTATTTGTGTAGTTATTCTTAATTTATTCTTTTTTTTTTTATAATTACTCATATTATTATTTTATTATGTGTTTAAGTACACAAATACTGAAAATTCACATTACATTTTAAGTAATTCTTTCAAATTTAAAAACATTGTTCTCCTCTCTGACCTGCCCCTCTCCTGCGGCCGGTCTTCACCAGCACTCGGTACTGATGGAGGCCCGGTCGGCCACACAGAGGAACCCGGCTCAGCCTGGTTCTCTCCAGGTGGTCCAGTTTGTGAGCGATGAGCCCCAGCAGCAGGTGGATCAGAACCAGAACCGCACACACCATCCCGACCAGCAGGTTACGCACCGGACCACCCGGCTGAGGAGAGACGAGAGAGAGACGAAGGAGCCTGATGAAGACTTCCCTTTATTGACTTTCTCTTTGATTTTTGTTTTCATTTTCTAACTTTGTGAATAAACTCAACATTTGCCATGCTTATATCAATCAATAATAATAATAATAATTTTTAGTTTTAAAAAGAAAATGCACTGGTGTAATGCTTCTAATGCAGCATCTTAATGTCATGTGTACATCAACTGTCTTGATATGTCACAGCCACTGTCGTCCATTCAGGAAAAGTCTGGCATTACCAAGACTGAAGTTGGGCAGCTCACTCATTCTTTTCAAACTGTATGTTTGTAAAATAACAAGAAGCTGGGTGTTTTTATTCTAATTAATACACAATAAAGCCAGTTTCTTAATGGATAACATTTGTAGGATATCTTTCTGGAGGGAACTTATCCTTTGCAGACCATTTAAATGCACAAAAGCCTATAGAAAACACCACAGGAAAGGGAAGAAATTGCTCCGGTGTAATGCTTTGTGTCTCACGTACCGGCGGCAGCAGCACCACGGCCCCGGGATGGAGGAACATGCTGGCCCCGAACATGGTGAGGTGCTGGGTGAGGCAGTGGGCGCTCTGCAGGGTGCTGCCCTCCAGAGGCTGCAGACCCTCACTGCTCCAACGCCTCTGCTGCACGCTGTAGTACTGACACACTGCGCTGAACACACACATCGACACACACACCGGACCACCGGAGACCAGAGACGAGGACAGGTGGACGGAGAGAGGCTGGTCCGTCCGGTTCAGACTGTTGGAGGAAGATAATTCATGTTAGGTAATCAGCTAGAGGAGCAACAAACAGGTGATGAGTTCATGGTACATTATCGCAAAAACAGTGCTCATACTTGCACGTGGCAAAGTAGTAATAGGCTATTGAACGAATGAAATGGACAGTATTTTCCTCAGTTCACATATAGCGCCTTTTTTTGAGCGATAGCATATTTAAAAATAGTTTTCAATGTGGAGTTGCACCCAGAGTCCTTTTCTGAGAGCACCGCTATTCTTTTGCAACTGATCTGAAGGGTTTTTGTTGAACACATTTACATTTTACGGTTGATTATAGTGAAAAAACTATGACAGTTTTTGATGAAACACTTGGAGGGGGTATTATTAAAGCCTCTCTGCCAGAAAAAAAATGCTATGTGGACACACAGCGATACAGGAAAGACCAGCGACTCACAGTGGAGACAGGAAGATGGTTTCCTCCATGAAAGGGGTCGCATCAGACAGATTTAGAGCCCACTCCTTCACCAGGGAATCCCAGGATGCATTAGTCCCCGGCACTGCAGAGCTCACTTCTATCCGGACATGTCCCAGACTCACTGGAGTAGCTCCTAAATATGCATAATGCAGTTAGAAAACAGCCTTTGTGATTCATAATTCATGCACGAACTCACAGATATACAGTAGGGGTAATTAATATTTATTTAGGCGCTGCTTGACCGACTTTAAAATAAAGTTCAGCGTCTTGATTTATAGACTTCTTGAAATGTCTAAATGTCATGTGTACGTCAACTGTCTAGATATGTCACATCCACTGTTGTTCATTCAGGAAAAGTCTGGCATTAGACTTGGGGAGCTCAGTAAAACTTTTCAAACTGTATTCTTATAACGTTATTGAAATGACAGGAAGCTGGGTATTTCTTCTTAATTAATACAAAATAAAACCAGTTTTTTTATCGATAATTTTGGCACAAACTCTGGTATTTGAGCCTTTGCAGACTATTTACATGCACAAAAACCGATAGAAATCACTACAGGAAAGGCAAAAACCACCCCAAAAAGAATAATAGCGCCCCTTTAAGATCGTAAAAAAACGGTTAGATCCAGTCAAAGGTACATTTTGTTCTGTACCTGAGTCCAGGCTGAAGTTGAAGGAGATATATAACCCTGCGTTTTCATCCAGTCCGTCCACCTCCTTGACTGTAAAGTTTAACATCCCTTCAGTAGGCAACATCTCCGTAAGACAAGTCCCATTCCCTGCTCCACCCCCATCATCCTGCCCAATATGGTGTTTATTTGGCAGGGTGACCCGTATGGCCTGATCAGGGTCCAGATCCTGTATGGTGATTGGTTGGCCTTGAGGTGTAGTGAGCTCCATTGCAACCAGAGAGGTGGAAATCGGAGGATCGGCTGCCGTCAGGAAAGGATTTGATCCGATATCTGCGTCGAAAAGAACCTGAACTATCTCAGTCTTCTGATTCTGCAGGTGAGCAGTAAGAGAGGAGGGGATGAGAAACTGACATCGATGAGAGGGGACGATCTGGTGTTGGTTGGACTTTTGAGTGCAGAGGAGTTCGGAGGGGTCTCCATGGAAGGAAACTGTGTTGATGTAGTCGTTGGAGAGCAAAAGAGGCGCCTTGTCATTCATTTGGGCGTGCATCAGGGAGCGCATCAGGGCCCCTGCATGATTTAACGCTAAGAGGACATTAGAGGACGCTAAATGAAGAGTGTCGTGGTGAGAACTGGAAGCTCTGATAGATACAGCCGCCAAGGTGCTACCTGGAAACAAAGAGAACACAACAATGTATTTGATTTGTTCATTTAACCCTTGTGTTGTGTTCGAAAGCTGTTTCCGTTCATGGTGTTCGCATGAAGTCCAAAACACTCAAATGTAATGACTATCATCCAATATTGTTTTAACTACATCATCACTAACTTATTATGCATTCACAACCTCACACTCCTGTTGTCATTTTATTATGTATGGCCCCAAAACACATATTTTTAAGTAGGAAATGGGATTGAATTAACTCATTATATTCCCTATAGTAAACACCGTGGATAATTATGTTATCTGACTATAATAGACTAATATTAAAATACAATTTTCCCCCAAAACGTTTTTCCAACTTTATATTATTAACTATAGTTCCAATAAAAAAAAACTAGAGGGTAGTTATTAGTGTTGTAGTACTCGAGACCGGTCTTTTAACGGTCTTGGTCTTGTCTCGGCCTCGGACCTATACAGTAGGTCACGAGATTTGATGTCAAGGCCGGTCAAGACCGTTCTTATTATACATCCATGGTTGAGACCACGGCTGTTGCTGGGGATGTGATTGGATGTGAAACGCCCTGTTTAAAAAAATTCAACCAATAACGTGACTTCACGTGACTCTGAATCTTTTCCCTCATGCGCCACAATGTTTGTAAACATGGGACTGATCTATACCGGCTGCTACCCCCCCACCTGTCGCCACCCCCTTCACACACTCAAACGCTCTTGCAGTGAAGATGTCGCGAAATTCATCAATCATTAAATTTGGCTACACAAGCTACACAGTGTGTGTGTGTGTGTGTGTGTGTGTGTGTGTGTGTGTGTGTGTGTGTGTGTGTGTGTGTGTGTGTGTGTGTGTGTGTGTGTGTGTGTGTGTGTGTGTGTGTGTGTGTGTGTGTGTGTGTGTGTGTGTGTGTGTGTGTGTGTGTTAAAGGGTTTTCCTTCATCCTGTGTGTGTTTGTCTTCAAAAGTGGTTCCTGGTTGGTTTGTTTTTTGTTTGTTGCTTAGACCTATATACCGTAAAATGTATATTATGATGTTTTATATTATGTTCTTACTATGTTACTGTTTTTATATGAAAAGGATAACTTTTTGAATAAATATGATGAAGTTGAATTTATATCTTACTGTGTCTTTTTATGATGATGTGGATCTTTCAGATCAAATTGACTCTGGTATCTTACACATGGTATTGTAAGTGTATCATGTAGTGTTGGATTCACAGGAGTCTGGGTCCGGTCTTGACTCGGTCTCGCCCTTGGTCTTGGTCTTGACTTGGTCTCGACCTCTTAAAGTCTTGGTCTTGACTTGGTCTTGCTACTCTCCGGTCTCGGTAATGTCTTGGTCTCGGATAAAGTGGTCTCGACTACAACACTAGTAGTTATTATATATTTTTTACTTGAAACACAACATAAGGGTTAACCATGAGATTATGAGTGATTCATGCATGAGATACTTTTTGAAAAGCACCTATGATGTTGAGAATGTTCCTCCCTGTTTCCACCGCTGACAACACACCAGGACTCATCTGCTCCTCCATGACATGGATCATCTTCCCAACAGCTTCCAGAACCTTCTCTTGGCACTTTTCACACACAAGTTCACTAGGAACAGCCTTCAGAAAACAGAAATAGACGTGTCTTTTGCAATTTTTATGCTTAAAATGTTGAAAGAGATGGAATAATCTGTACGATGTTGTGTGAAATATCTTTGTGTCTTTTTGGTCTCTTTTCCTCCTTTCTGTGTTTGCAAAGAATACAGTTGGCACTACACATATTTTCTAAATATTTAGGACTGTGAACGATAGGGAAACAAACAGTGGTTACTTACAGTAGACAGTGACAGAGCTGAGCTGATCTGATCTACATTCAGCATGGAGTTCACTGGGAGAGACGCCAGGACTCGGGTGACATTTTCCCGAATCTCCCTTCTGTCCAACAGCGTCACGGCACTCTGTCCAGCATCCATCTGTGGAAAGATTGGGTTTGACTCATAGTTTCATATTCAAGCAATTTAATAGGTCCCCTATTATACTGTACGCCCCTCTGAGAGATATTTGGTTAAAAATAACACAATGGTGCTCTAGGAGGAGATTCAGGTGATAAGGTGGGGGGGAGGGGTTACCTTGGTTGCTGATTGGCTAATGGTTACACAAGCCAAAACATCGTTATGACATCATCAAGTGGCCAAAATCTGATCAGCTCATTTTCAGACAGGTTTTTATATAAATGGATCAGGACAAAAAGAGAGAATCTTTTTTCCTGAAACTCTCAGAGTCTCTTTACACAGAGGGGACACATGGTGATGTATAAGAGACATGAAGAAGAGGGGACACATGTTGATGTAGAAGAGACATGAAGAAGAGGGGACACATGTTGATGTAGAAGAGACATGAAGAAGAGGGGACACATGTTGATGTAGAAGAGACATGAAGAAGAGGGGACACATGTTGATGTAGAAGAGACATGAAGAAGAGGGGACACATGTTGATGTAGAAGAGACATGAAGAAGAGGGGACACATGTTGATGTATAAAAGACATGGAAAAGTGGATTTTGCATAATAGGTGATCTTTAAATTCCACTATGTTAATTATTTTCAGCTTAATCATAGTCAGCTGCCATTTCATGCACTTGCAAATGGGACCTGATTGAGCTGGCTGGTGAGAGCGATGGAATAAGGGATGATCTCTTGAGGGTTTCCTTGTTGGACCAAAGCCCAAAGCTCTGTCTGGCTCTTGTTTCTCAGCCACTGACCGGCTACTGCATCCTTTGGAGGAGTTTGAACCGTCAGCATTCTGTAGAAAAGAGGAAACAGAGACTGTGAGAGTTCACAAAAACCCACATTCGGCATAATCTGTAAACAACTTAAATATTGTTCCTAAATGTAGATTGACAATTCGAGTAAACGACAGGTGTGGCACATGACAAGTTGTGATACATGTTATGCTTCGGCTGCATTAGTTCCTGGTAGCTTACCTGTTCAGAGCAATGACTTTTGCCCCAAGATGGTCTTCTACCAGCAAAGTAACTGAGATAACTGATGTGCTTCTTTCTTGCCCAGGACTTCCCATTGGAACCAGACTGCCATATTTTGAACGAGTACCCCTAGGAAAGAGAATGTCGACATAAAAGACAAAATAGCTTAAGTTATTCAGGTCAAAGACATTTGGTTGCAGACTCTGTAGGCAATGGGACTTGATTTGTGTCTGTTTGTAGTCAGGTAGTATTGATCAGTCATGCTTGAGAATGCTTTGGTTGGATGCAGGTAAACCTTTAGTGGGAAAGAGGAGGAATGCATCGGCTAAAATGCAATCTTGGAACCATCAGATATTGTCTGACGATGATTTAAACCTCTATTAGCTCGGCTTACTTTCTACTTGGGAAACAAACCAATCGTAGACATTATCTCTCTATGGGATCCTTATTCTCATTGTTGTAATCAAGCTTTAAACAGTGACTGGTGTTTGGAGGAGACGTCTTTGCTGGATGTTATGCATTATCAGTTTTCCTGGATATCTGATGGCTTCACTCGTGACATTGTACAGGAAACAAATTCAAACCTTACCTCTTAATGCTATTTCTAATGTGTAGGTTAAAGGTCACCTATTATGCAAAATACAATGATAAACCTGTGTCCCCTCTGTGTAAAGAGACTCTGAACGTTTCAGGAAAAAAGATTCTCTCTCTTTTTGTCCTGATCCTTTTATATAAAAACCTGTCTGAAAATGAGCTGATCAGATTTTGGCCACTTTATGATGTCATAAGGTTTTTTTTGGCTTGTGTAACCATTAGCCAATCACCAACCAAGGTAAGATCACACTTCATGGTCTATAAATAGCTGTTAGTTGAGTCCTTTATTTACCTGTACAGAGTGAGTAAGGGGCACACCGGGCCATTGGGATGACATGGTGCAACTTGGAAGGTGTAAATCAGCTGAGAGGTCCTGCTTTCATCATCTTGCCACCCTGCCAAAAGACAACAGATGTTAGCAAATCCCGTTCAGTTTGATGGATAACTTACTCTTTCTCTAAACTGCAGGATTTCCTCAATTCAGAGTTGAAACACTTCCACTCAGTGTTACCTGAGCAGTTGTAGGTGACCACCGTCTCCAGCAGACGTATATCTGACTCTGGACTGAGTTCACAGAGGCCTCCATGAGGGGGATTGTTAGGGTGTATCGTCAGGCTGGCGCTACCCCAACGCCCTCTGCCAGGCTGAGACACATTGAGAGTGAAGGTGTAACTCTGTCCTGGTTGTAGGACACCTGAACGCACCACCAAGTTAGGAGAGTGTCTGCCGGTAGATGTGGAGACCTCGTTTAGGTCAAGGGTCACGCCAGTCTGGTCCTCAGCACTCCATTTGTACTGTGAGAAAACGCTTCATGATGAATGTCTTGTGACTGTCAGAATAATTCTTGGATGCCATCAATAAACCATAGTACTGTTCATTTGACCATTTAATTAAGTATTGCTAAGATTACATGAAGATTAAACCAATGAAGGTTGGAAACCAATGTCAAATTACAAACAAATTCCTTAAACACATAGACACGAGATAATTAAAAAGATAATGAATAAAGCAGAGACTACAGCAAAGGGAGAACAGTTTTCACTACACTTGCCTTTCCATGAACTCTTTTGCAACAGAATATTCCAAACATTTTTACTTTAAGATAAAGTTACTTAGTTGAAAGTGGGAAGTTATTGTCCGATTCATTACCTGAGCTCGATCGTCACACTGTCCACATTGTCCTGACAGTACAGTGGGGGTGGTATAGCTTATTTGGTGAGGGGAGGACAGTAGAGAGCAGGACACGCAATCCACAATCACAGGAAACACAGGAGCTTCACTCATAGTCACCTGTAGGTTAGACATAGAGGGAAGAAGTGTATTTTTGGGCTAAATTCATTGGTTTGTCTACCGTAACTTCCAAAATTGCCAGTGTCTCCAAAACGATTTAATTGCAAGAGCATGCTTTTGTGTTAAGATAGAGGGAGATGTGGGGTTATACTCACTGTCTGGTTGAAGGAGACAGGACTCCTTCCTGCTTTGTGTACAGTAAGGGTGAAAACGTAGACTGTGCCTGAGTGCAACTGAGTGCCAAGTACCGTCATTTTACTGCTGTTAGTCGTCTTAGGCTGCTTTGCAAAATGAGACTCGCTTGAGTTCTGAAAATACAAACACGACGTGGGTCTTAGTATCACTTATATAGACTGTTTTTCAAATATGTATTGTATTATGTTATCTTATTCATCCTTAAAAGGATAGTAGTAGCTAATGTATTCTTCATAAAGACAACTAGGAAGATTGAGGTCACTTTAAAGTAGGGCTGTGCGATTATGGCAAAAATCATAATCACGATTATTTTGGTCAATAATTGATATCACGATTATTAAAAACGATTATCCATTTACTTTGAAAACATCCATATATTGAAAAAAAAATGTGAACAGTATGTTTTTATCAGTTGATTACCCTGAACTTTAAGTATAATTCAACAGAAAAACAAAAAAAACAAAAAAAAGAAATCACATTTTTTTTTTTTTTTATAAAAATAATAATCGTTTTATTTCGATTACATTGTTTTCGTAATCGTTGCAAGCCAAAATCGTAATCGAGATTAAAATACGATTAATTGCACAGCCCTACTTTAAAGGTCCCCTATTATGCTGTTTTTCATCAATATATTATAGGTCTCAGATATATACAAACATGTCTCTGAAGTGTTTGCCTCGAAATACCAAACAGATCATTGCAGCATCCCATAATCCCCTCTGTTTCAGCCCTGTTTCCAAAGTGCTGATTCTCTGTCTGTTACTTTAGATGAAACTGAAACTTTCAGAATCTCTTTACACAGAGGGGACACGTGTTTAAGTACAATAGACGTGAAAACGTGGATTTTGCATAATAGGTGACATTTAACACAAAAAAGGTTTTCACCACAGTCATGAAGGTCCAGTGGTACTGCAGTGTATCATCCACTCCTGGCTCTTCATCAGGGTCTTCAGACTCAGATCCGTCCAGGACGAGATCACTGAGGCTTGGCCACAGTCTGTGTGATCCTCCCTTGATAACAGCGACCAATGCTGAGTGGACTACTGTAACGCTGATATTTCGTTGGACAAGTAAAGGCGTTCCTTGGAGGGAAACGGTGAACACCAAGAAATACTGTCCCAAATCCAGAGTATGCTTTGGGAGTAAGAGAAAGGGTGACGATGCATCTACCTGGCTTCCAAGAACGACTTTGTTCCCAGTGAATTTGTTACAATCTGACTCATTAAGTATCTCCCATAGGTACGCAGCTTTGTAAGCAGAGCAGTTAATGTCCACGACAGCTTCAAAAAAGCTCATTCTAGACCTGAAGATAGTCAAATGGCTCTGGATAAGAGAAACTTGAGGGCTTGAACAAAGGAGCTCCTCCACTTGTATGTGTAGCTGTCTAGATACATGGCTGACACTGTTGAACACTTTGACCACAACCATGTATTTCCCACGGATATAATAAGTATGATTGACTGTGCTTAAGTCTGTTGCCAACGTCTCATTGGAGTCTCCAAAGTCCCAGAGGTATCTTGGATTGCTCCGTCCATTCATCTGTGCAGAAAATTTGACAGCATGTCCAACAAATAATCTTTCTGAATGACAGACAAGCGTCACCTTCTTAACACGCCACTGAACGGTGGCAGTATCATTTATCTTCTTTGAGCAGACTCCATTGGTAGCAAGCACGCTAACAGACAGTACACCACTTTCTGCAGGAGTAAAGATCACTTCCTGTCCTGTGAACATGGTAGGCTCAGACCCCAATGAATTAAATACCCAGGTGTAGTTTACAGGAAGTCCACTTTGAACTTCTGCCCTGAACCTGGTTCCTTTCAGAGCCTCGAAAGCATCAGAACAACAGTTCACAAGTCTCAGACCTTGAATATGCTCAGTGACCAGAATGCTTGAAGACACCTCAGAACTGCTGACATGGTTCCAACCTTTCACGGTTACTAAATGTTTCCCTGCAGGAAGGCTCGATGTGGTGAACCGCCCTTCAAGAACGCTCTGACTACGAATCCAGTCTTTGTTTTTAAAGGTTATAGCAAAGCTGACATTGCTTCCTTTGGAGATTGTTGGAATAATAGTAACTTGTTCCTCCGTGCAGAAAGAAGGCTCGGAAATGTTCAACGTTAGACCCTCGATTGCATCCTGGACTGTGACACTGTGTGAAACCATCTCCCAGTTGATCCCATTGGAGACATTCAAAGACACCTGATAGATGCCTTCATATGGAAACGTGTAGATGAAGGTCTGATCGAAAGCATTATAAAGATTAGCACCTTTTACTTCCCAGTTCCAGTGCAGATCACTTCCCTTCCGAATAATCCCATGGAGTTGAACAGCAGAACTTGTGGGGGCATAAAACGGATGCGTCTTTCCTTCAATCTTAAAGTCCCCTTCTTGGATTCCCTCCTGTATATTAAACTCTTTGGTGACATTGCATTGGCTGAGGACATTTTGAACCAAAACTCTAACAAGACAATGGCCAACAGTTGTAAAAGTGTGGAGAAGGAAGGATGCATGTGTTTGCAAAGGTGAAACACCAGAAATCATATACCAAAGGTACTCCAAATCTGAACCGGTAACCAGCGATACAGAGATATTCACTACTTTCCCTAATGCCACGACATTTGATTGTGTTGTAATGTGCGCACCTGTAACACGCTGTACTGCCAACAAAGAAACAAACTTGGTGGCCTCACCCAACTTGTTAGAAGCTCTTAACTGAACTGAAATCCCTCCAGGAGTTTCTGCTAACATCTGAAAAAGCTCTTCATCACCAGTAAATGTATGGTTTATTCCGCTTTGTGTAGCGAGCCATTGATAAGAGACATTGGATCCCTTGGTGATCAAGGCAATAAACACTAGTTCCTCTTGGGTTGGTACGTATTTAACATTTATCAGGTTCTGACATTCAATCTGAAGACCCTCTATTCTTTCAAAGACCTCAACTACAATAGCTGCTTCCTCTCTACTCACCAAGTTCTGTGCTATAACTCGTACTTGATACACTCCTGGTTTCAGGAAAGCAAATCTAAACTGATAGGTCCCCTGTATGTTTGAGGATATACCGTCTACAGTCCAGTAGAAAATAGTGCTACTGATTGCACTGCTAATAGCTGAGATGAGTGTTTCTTCTCCAACTGCAGCAATAGGCTGGTTGGTGTGAAGAGAAAGGTCTGAAATAGCATTTACAACATTGACTTGAAGGGTCACAGAGTCACGGCTAACGGCGTTAAATGCTGTGGTGGTGACTGTAAACTGACCTGTTGTGGTAAAGACATGTGACACGTTTTTGTTCTGTTCAACAGGAGATCCATCTCCAAAGTCCCACAGCACGGACACATTGCTACCAGTGCAAGAAGCAAGCCAAAATAATGCTAATGTGTTGACTGTCAGTGTGATACTTTCACTATCATGCCCCACAGACAGGTCACTTACAGGGTGTTGAACGGTGATACTAGCTCTGGCTGTTTTGTTGCTAACACTGTTACTTGCTGTTACTAAAACCACTTCCACACCTTCATCCCTAAAGATAAAACACTTTTGAGCATTTTCTGTCACAGCAATGAGGCTAGAGGAGCTGTTGAACCACTTAAATTGGTAACCTCTCATCTGTACAGGTAAAACTAACACCTTGAAGCATACCTCTTCCCCTACTGCCACTACTTCCTTTGATGGCTGCACTGATACGTTGGTTATTCGCGATTCGATACTGATACTCGTCTTATATGATACTGATGTAACAGAACTCAACACAGTCAGACTAATATGACAAATCCCAGGGTTTAGGAAGGTGTGCATGGCTGTAGATTGCCCCGTTACTACAATCAGAGATGAACCATCTTGAAACAGCCAATGGAAAGTCAGATTGGATATGTTCCCATTCACCAAAGCAGTAAACTGTATTTCGTTTCCACTCATGACACATGTTGTAGGGAGAACTCCACTAACAGCCAACTTATAGACCTCCACACTGATGGACTGATGAGCTTTGCTGACAGTATTCGAGACAGTTACATCTACCGTATAGTTTCCTGGTAATACATAGACATGGGAGATGGAGCCATCTGAAAGGTTGCCCTGAAAGGATCCATCGCCAAAGTCAAAATCCCACGTTAGATTACTACCAGTCGTCACTGTAGCTCGGAAATCTGTAGCTACGTTTAGTTCACTGGGTCCATTGTAGCTGACTGTTAATCCAGAGATTTTCTCCAGAACTTCCACCATTATCCAGGAGGTCAGGACTGTCAGGGTGTTGTTGGCACACACTGTGACGTTGTAAACCCCTGCAGAAATAAAACTGTGGTTGACTTTATGGTGGATGCTTTGGAGAGATTCAGAGCTATCGCCAAAGTCCCATGTGTAGACGACAGCGTAGGTTGAGGGCTCCACTGCTTCAAGAATAAGAGTCTGATTGACGAGAGGTACAGGAACGTTGGAGGAAATAAGGAGGTGATTTAATTGAGGGCGGACCCTTATCTTCTTGGAGGCGTCAGTGTGGTCATATTGGTTGGAGACTTGGACGTGAAGTGTGTAGTCATCTGCATAAAGAGACATAATAAGTACAAAGCACAGTTTTCAGAACCAGTGTCAATCTTCGACCAAAATAAGGACATTATTATATCTAAAATTGATTTGAAGGAGACATGAAAATAACATTTAGGTTGTGATTCTATCTTCCCAAGGAATGTACGTAGGGCCATTATCTATTATCCAATTTCCTTTTGCTCTGGTTTTATATCCATCAACTTTTTATGGAAGTGTTCTGGCTCTATGGCTGCTAAAGGCTCCTCTATCTTCTTGAGGTAGATACAAAGTTATTTTGACGCTTCATTTTCATCAGCAGGGAGAAAACAGTGGGTTTATCAAACATTTTGATGTATACCAGATGCTTGCTTGTCGGGGCTGGGATAATAAGTGGTGAGAATGAAGCATGTGGTTATGTTTCAGACTTTAAAACCTCCCAAACAAAAACCATCACTACAATCAACCCCCTCTTAAAATGACACATAATCATTTGACAGTTGTGTGTGTGTTTACCTGGGATGGGATAGGTATAGTTCACAGAGTCATGGACGTACACTTGTTTATCTCCTCTCTCCATGAGCCCCTCCATGGTCTGGCATGGAGCAGACTGTGTGTGGATCTTCTCGCTACTGCCATCACCAAAATCCCATCTACAGGACAAACACCAAATGAAACAATTTAAGGCTATCCGTTCGAAAAATCTCACCCGTCACCAAGTTTCAATCTCAGGATCCATGTATTTGTGATCCTCTCCAGAATGGAAGTAGTCATCACATACAGAGCATCAACTAGTTCCTGAACAGTGTCCTTCACATGCTGATATCCAAGAGAGGGAGTTACACAGTCACAAGATGGAGGAATAGAAAGCAGTATTCAATGTGTAGTTCAGATTAGCTCCACGTCAGAAATGAGCATGCTTGTCATATGTCTATCTCCATAGAGGCTGAATCATCATGTTAATCACATAGCTATCATATGCCTAAAACAGTCCTGATGCTCTTCTAGGTAATCATACATCCTGTCATGTACACAGCTACAGTTGGGATACCTTTGTTATCATGTGTACTCTGATATTAGAAGAGTACATTCAGTATTTTCCCAACACTATCCAATGTTTTTTTTATCATAGGATATCTGAGGGTACGAAATGCAATGCTTTACCTGAAGGTGACTGGCAGGGAAATGTCCACTTTGACCCTGAGAGTGTAGAGGTGTGTAGCATCCACAGCTATGACCTCCCTGACCAACAGGAACTGTGGATCAGACAGTGGGGTAATTTCATCAGCAGTCAGGAGGGTTTGTTGGCTCTGGGAGCTCACAGGGTTGGAAGCTGTCACCTAGAAACAGATCACGTAAGAAAATGTATAGAATGATCACAAATATCAAATCATAGAGACAACTGAATGATCTTACCCTGAGCTTATACTCGGCAGGTTTCTCGAACTCAACGCTGTAAGATTGTCCTTCATGGGCAAAGTTCTCCAAGTAGTCAATCACCCATGTGAATTTGATTGAAGAACCACTCTCCACTTTGGCTGTAAATGACTACAATGTAAAAAACATATGGAAGATACAAATGTCAAATCAATTTTTCCAAGGATTAATCCTCTGGGGAAAAAACATTTCAGTTGTAATGTTGTAATTTCAGTCTACACCAAAGTATCGGACCAACCATCAATCGTTTCTGTCTTCAGAGCAACTCAATAACATATGGAAGATAAATGTAAAATACATTTTTCCAAGGATTAATCCTCTGGGGAAAATAAATGTCTGTACAAAGTTTCAGTTGTAATGCGTCTAATTGGTCTTCAGATATTTCAGTGTACACCAAAGTATTGGACCAACCAACAGTCTTTTCTATCTTTATAGCAATTCAGTAACATGTTTACTTAAAACAATATGTGTTTGTTGAAAGTTCGTTTTTGCATTCTCACCTGTGGTGTGTCTACGATCATCCTCCGGCATCCATGCGGCTCAACACTGAGCCCTGTGACTTCCTCATAGCTGCAAACACTCACACTCACACTCTGAGAGCTTTCTGCGTCCATCACACTGATGTTCAGCGTTTCAAACCCAACTGTGGGCGATATCATGGTCACAGAGGAGAACCAGGCATCATGGGACTGTCTCTTACATCCATCCCAGGATTGAGCCACCTCTTTGGGGCAAGATGATAGGAAGGGAACCCCCGTCTGGAGAACTGGTGCCGACCATGTGCTACTTGCTTTCTCGCCAAACAGGACCTTGACCACAATGAGTGTCGGGACGTTTATTTGGACGTGAATCTGGTTATTTGCATCTGGCACAGGGTGGATGACGTCAAGCCTAAATTTAGATCCAAGATTCGGAGTAGGACCAGTTGTGAAGGCCTGATTATTTAAGGCTGTGGTTGTCTCTCTTTCAGTGAAGCCAGGGTTATCTTCGTGCTCGGTTCCTCTGTGAAGATTGTCCACGTACATCATCCTTAAATCACACACCACCCCGTCCACCCACTGGCCTCCGTGGGGAAGGGAAGTGAGGCCTCCCTCCCTCCAGCCCCCCCACTCCTCCCTCCTCCTCAGGGACATGTAGCTTTGGCGCCAGGGGGACTTTAGAGAGGCGTCACTGTTCACGCAGTGTAAGAAAGTCCCAGAGTCACGAGTGTGTTGAACAGCCACAATATCATCGGGGTACACCATGATCGCTCGATCTGGAAGAATCAGCTGTTGTGGGGAAAGAGAAACAGGGAAATCTGTGAGAAATGTGTTTTTCTTTAAAAATCTATATTGTGTTGAAACGACAACATAAAGACATATTTGTTTAGGTAATTCGTGAAGTTAACATCACCCGGTTTCCCTTGACATGAAAAATAAAACATGTTGGGTCTCCTGCAGCACTCATTGGCACCAGTTGAACGTACACTTATAGTTGTCAGTTCAGAGCTCGGGTTAACCCTCAGAGGCAGGTCGGCCACCAGGTGGTAGAAAGGTGGTATTGCGGTGTATCTGGGAGGTAAAACGAAGCCTCGGGCCCCTGTTTCAGAGTCGTAGGGGCTGCAGGGACTGGTGGTGGGCACGCAGACCTCCAGCAGGTGGCACCAGTACTGACCTGTGCTGCAGCCCCCCGTCGTGTTACACAGCGGGACGGCTGAGCAGCAGCTGAACGGATTAAAGAGAGCGCTGCAACCTGAGGAGAAGAGAGGAGATTATTACCTTCAGGGTCGAGAAGAGAGGAGATTATTACCTTCAGGGTCGAAAAGAGAGGACATTTCAGGTAATCTGTTCACGCCCCCAGGAAGTGCTCCAGACTCTGAGGAAAATATTCGTAGTGGCCAAACGGCGGTAAGGCAAGGCAAGTTTATTTATATAGCACCTTTCAACACAAGGCAATTCAAAGTGCTTTACAAAAATGAAAGACATTAAGAGCATTAAGAAAGATATTATAAAATGGCATTTAAAAACACTCATTTAAAAGCAAAGATAATAAAACATGAAGTGTGAGATAGGTTTAGGTCTGACTCTCAATCATTGCTAACTTTTTAGCAGAAATAGTTTTCTTTCTACTCTCTTTTTTAATTGATCCTTTAGTGTTTGATGCTAAACGAACTCCCCTTTGGAAAATTAGAATCTGCAACCCAATATTCCGAAAATTCTACGGATCCTGGCCATATTTGTGTAGCATATACAATTGATTTGCTCCCTGACATTCATGTGGCTTGCTAGTTTAACAGTACTACAATTTCCGTATCAGTCCGTGACGTCACTGGGCCCAGAAATACTTTTTCCCATTGGGAAAGAGACGTCTATAAATCAGCGGATATTTTTTTCTTTTCACTTTTATAGCCTATATTAGAATCATTAGGTTCTTAAAGTTGTAAAACGCGCTAAAAGCCGAATCCAGATTTATTTTCTCTCTCCATTCATTCAAGTGAGCCGAGAGCGGTAGACCGGGGGCGGGGCTTAACCTCTTAAGCACGGCGGTCCCCCCATTGGACCCCTCCCACCTTTTTGTTTTCGAGATAATGTCTCAGGGCTTCTTAACATTTATGAAACTATTAATGTGTAGTACCAGATTAACGGGAAGAATCTCAGCTAACTGAAGATATGAACCATTTTTACCAAAACAAAACACAAGTCTCATAAGAAGGGTCTAAATGACCCCTGAGCGAAAAAATTCTAACGCACTGCGGCACACAATTCAAGATAAAGATACTCTTATTACTTATCGTAGCTGCACATACAATATATCCGATTAAAGCTGAGACTCCACAGATTATTTAGGTATAGTATCATCACTGAGCGATCCGAACTTGCGACAGGGGAAGCAAACACAGACATCACAACACGTACCTTTACGGAGCTTTTACGGCAGATCGTCTCACCGTAGCTGTCAATTAGGTCAAAAGACGTGTTCAATGGCATTAAAACGAAAAAAGAAATGTCTACAACTGTTGATCCATAGGTTGATAATGTACCTGTGCCTTTTAATAATTATTTATAATCCATAATTCAATTTTTTATGTAAAAATCGGAGCGGAAAAGTTAGCTGCTAATGGTAGCCACCAGAGTGTATGCAGCTTCCGGTTTTGGTAACGCGTCACTCTCACTCCTTATTTGTTAACGTTTTGGTGTGTATATAACTTTCCCTCGATTCCATTGGCTCTAGCGGTTATAAAGAGATTTCATTCATCAACATCGAGCAAGGGGGGCCAGAGATAGGTCAAATCCACCCAAATGACCCCAGAAGTGGGGGTTTTTGGCTAAATCTCTCTAAAAAGGTCAAATTTCACTTGTTTTGCATCAATCTTGATACAGGGTACTTATTATATGTTGTACTTTGGATGCCTAAAGCTTTTAGTCTACTAACCCATCATCCAAGGGTAGTTTTCACTATAAGTAAAAAATAATTTTTGGACGGACACTATAATTTACAGTTTTTTACTATGTAAAATCTGAATTTTCTTTAAAATAAAAAACATCTATATTGATTCTGACTTTTCTACATCCAACTCACAGGTTTATCATTACTTTGAGAATAAAGATTATTAATTTAACCCTTTTAGAAGGGAAGATATGGTCATTTGTTCTGGGAATGTCATTTTCGAGCCTGAGACCTGAAAAACAGGCTCAGGGCTTAAGAGGTTAAGGGGAAACTCAACTGCGCTCTATGAGCTAAAAACATTATCCGCTGATTTACAGACGTCTCTTTCCCAATGTTAGTCAATGGGAAAAAGTATTTCTGGGCCCAGTGACGTCACGGACTGATATGGAAATTGTAGTACTGCAATTTGGCCACTAGGAATATTTTCCTCAGAGTACGGAGCACTTCCTGGGGGCTTGAGTACAACAGATTACCTGAAATCTCCAGTGGGTAGTTCTGCTCTGACAGCAAGGCATGATGGGTAATCTGTGACGTTTTGCCTTCGAAAATGTCAGGCCATTTTGTTCTCATGCGCCAATGAGCAGCTCTCATAAAGTATTAACGAGGCTGTATCCAGTTCTTATTAAACATCCATGGTCGTACTGTACCTGGAGGAACCAGATGGTGGTTGGGGTTGCAGTACGGTCGGAGGATCTGGACACGAGACAGAGAGGAGTCAGGACTGGGTTGGACCACCAGCTCGACTGAAACCAGCTGACCTGCATGACTGAACCACAGACCTGGGAACAGCTGCATCTGTAGGGGTCAGAGGAGCAACAGATTATCAACCAGGAACACAAACTATGAATAAAAACCTTTAATTGATATGCTTTTAAACACAATTGAAGCTGAAGTGCAGAGCTTTTGTTCTGCCTAGATCATAGTGATGGCATGGTGGCTGTGGATGCTCAAGATAAAGAAGAAAATCGTACATAGGAACAGTATATATTTAAAACATTTGCAAGGGATGACTTTAAGAGAACGCTCCTGACACCACAACTCAGGATAACTGTGATATACAAAGAGATGTTCCTGGCTTAATCAATATTTTGTGAAATTGTTTGACCAGAACTTGAATTTAGTCCCGAGGTCCTGTTTAAAATAATAAATATATTAAATTGGATGGTGCTTGCTACCTATTTTGAACTGAACTCCAATGCAACACGAAGGCTATTAGGTTCAGGTGGTATAACTCACGCAATTCGTGGATTTCCATAATGTAATAGAATTGTTTAGCTACTCCACATTCTCCATGTACGCATTGCCATCTACAGAAATACTTTAGGGTACAGTTGACCCCTGTTTGGAATCACTTCATGGAACTCTGATAACCAAACTTTATATGTTTCTGACCCTTAAAAACCAATCAACGGGAACCTGTAGCCCTTTATTATTGGAGTATTCAGTATGTGAGCGTTGAAACCAAGCACTGATGATCACTTGTCAGATAGAGTAGATTTAAATACTTTTCTAAAATACCGTATCTCAGATTTATCTTGTGAAGCTTAAAGTGGACCTATCATGCTATATTTGAATAATATAGTGTAGGACCATACCTATATAAGGCATATTTATACTTTTTTTTTTTCAAAATACCAAACAGATCATGCATTTTAGCCATGCCTCATTTTGTTCAATTTGACATTTTTTAGATCTGTTTTAGCAAGGGTTGATTCTGTGAGCAACAGCACCATCTACAGGCCTGGCATATGTACTACAGCGTCTCCAGCGCTTTCGAACGGCAATGGCCGTGGCTGTCTCCTCCTGATTGGTGGAGTTGGCCCAATAGCCGTAGCGCCACCGTCCTGACGTCAGGACAGTGTTCAAATCTGGATCAGTTTTTATCAGATCCGTTGCAGCCCCTTTTTTAGAGATTTGGGTATGGAGGAAAATAGAGAGGGTTGTGTTTTCTGACACTTGGTGAGTTCCCTGGAACACCGGGGACACATATTCATGTATAAAAGACGTACAAAAGTGCATTTTGCATGATAGGTCCCCTTTAAGTTAGTTCCCAATGGTTTTGACATCTAACTGACCTCCACTGTGATCTGTCCGATGTCCGGTGCATTGGGTAAGGGTTGAATCTGGATCTGAGTGTAGTCACCGCTCATGAGAACCGACCCGGTCAGATAACTGTCCACAGACGGGAAAGACTCTGCACAAAGAGGGATTAGCAACAACAAATCTATAAATTAACAAAACATGAGGATAAAACAAAGCATTTTGTCACTTAATGTCAACAACTTGAATATCTTCTGGTAGTTTCTGTGTAGCTCTGGTGTTTTTGAGTGAATTCAAAGTCCTACCTGTTACTTCCTTTTCACACAGGAAGAGGTATCGTCCGGCACATTGAGACTTCCTCCTCTGTCCTTTTGTCCCCAAAGCCATCTGAGTACACCCTCCTGGACTCTCTACAGGAATCACTGGCTCGATAACATCCGTCTGGTCCGACCCATCTCCCCCCGATCCTTTGACCCAAACCCACACTGTGGTTTTCCTAAAGCAACACAAAAACAAAAGACAAAGGGTAAATAAACTCCAAAATGGGCACGCACCCTAACCCCAACCCTAACCCAGCCCTGGAACAAAATACTGTATAATAGAGGAGACATTTCTTTGCACTCACACTGGAAAGGAGTGCTGGATGAAGTCCTGCAGCTCCAGGCTCTCAGCGGAGGCAACATCTCCTCCTCGAGTCTCTCTGCAGGAGGTCTGAGCGTCGGGCCATGAAGACGGACTCTCAGAGAGAAAGAAGCATCTTTTACTGGAGACATGGATCTGACCTCCCTCTGGACAAGGACTGTCCTCTGGAAGACAACACAGTGAAGTAAAACACAGGTTATTATCACACACTGACTGCATGACCTGTTAGAAATCTGCTCAAAGATTGTTGGTCCACCCTGTCAGAGACTTTCTGACTCACAGACCATAATAACCTGTCCAACAACATCATCTGGGACCCCAAGCATGCTCTGAACAGAGGATATGAACTGCTACCATCTAATGGAGACTCAATAAAGTCAGACTGAAGCATCCTTTGTGCTCCAGTCGATCCTCTCAGTAAACAGCTACAGATCAAATGCAGGCTGAAGGCTCTTTGAGCATCTTTTCTCTCACTGATCCTGCTGTTATGTTCAATGTTTGTTTTCCATGTCTTGTGTCTTGATATTTGTCTGTTGATGTTACACATGGAGCTGCTGTGATGCAAGGAGCATTTCAGACTTGATCTCACCATTAAAGTATTATCGTATGGTATGAAAGAGGAGGCATTTCTAAAAGAATCATGGCAGCTTTATGAGAATAAGTTCAATTAAAAATCTCCAAGTGTTTGTTTCCACAGTCAGGTTGCTAATTAGTGGGATTAATGAACCCCGTTGAGATCTTAAATCAGATGATGAGACCGCCCTCTGGACAACGACTGTCCTCTGTAAAGCAATGCAGCTAAATAAAATACAGGTTATCATCACACACTGACTGCAAGAAAGAGGAGGCATTTCCCTCCAACCTGACATCCAGAATTCTGACTCTCTCCCCAGTTTCAAATCACGTCTCAAATCACGTCTCAAAACACGTCTCAAAACACGTCTCAAAACACATCTCTTCAGGCGGGCACATCCACCCTGATCACATCACACATCCTCTATTTTTCTGCTTTTACTGATTGATTATATTGTCGTGTTTTTTGCACTTTTGTTTTGTGTTTTGTGTACAGTACCTTGAGAGCCTTGAAAGGCCTAAAATCATGTCAGCTTAAAATATGTGTAATGCGAGAATGAGTTCATTAAAGGTCTCCACAGTCGTGTTCAGGTTGCTAATTAGAGGGATTAATTAACCCCGTTGAGATCCTAATTCAGATGATGTGGAGCAGGTTTAGCTCATTAGCTCAACAGATGCTACAGGACAGCTGCTTTGTATTTTGCACATTTCGTAGATTACACAAACTCACCTGTAAAGTTTCAATTTGAGAAAATGTTATTAGCTATAGTAGTGTTACACGGAATTTAGACCCCATTTACACGGGAACGCAAACGAAAACGAACCGAATTCGATATCAAAAAAGTGTTATCCTGTGTTAAACGATGTTTTAGAAGTGTTAGATTTAAAAGGTAGCAACATTTATTTACTGTATGTAAAGTCAAGGTACTCATTATGCAATGGTTGTTGTCTTAATGGAGAATACAACATGAAAATATATATAAAAATATAGGAAAGAAATATATAAATTAAATAATAATGAAGGAAAAAAGTCTTGTTTTCCGTTCTGTATAAAATAAATGTATAAATGCTTTCTAAAAATACCCATTCAGGCTATAAATAATCTAAAAAATAAACAATTTGAGAAGTAAATATGACTTGTGTTAATAGATAGAATTGAAGCTATCTATACCAGCCTGCTACTATGACACTCTGAACCCTCCTCTCTCTGAAGATGCGCAAAACCACAAGTTATCCCAACAAAAACATCACTTTTTCTCATTTTAAAGCAAAATGTAATAGAAAAAGAAGCGTCTCACCTGCAGCGATAGCACTCAGAAACACACAGAGAATCCACAACGTCTGCTTTACTGGCACAAATATCATCGTGTAGCGCACATCACATCCTCCTGAAGAAGAAATAGTCCCTGCCTGGTCACCACATGGAGCTTAATGCACTCCTATTATTGCATCAAATCATTTTTTCTTCATCCTTGTTGCTGTTGCACAAGTATCCTAAACTCTGAGTCTGGTCCACACGCTCTGATCTCCCCCTCCTCTCGTTCTGCAAACACTCAGTGAGTTATGGGGGTGTCGTTAAGGCCTCTTCTCTGTTTTCTCTTTCTGAGCGCCTGGGTGACTTCTACTTTGTCTCTCAGCAACAGAGAGTGGACAGAGGAGGCTCATTACCATGTTGTAAAACCCCTGCAGCTCAATAGAGACCCTCAGTGCAGAAACAAGCCTCAGAGACTGAAGACTCTGTGTCGTTTGTGTACGAATTGTTGCTACTTTATAGTTTAAAAGGTCCATATCTGCTCATTTTGAGGTGTATATCAGTATGTAGTGTCTCTACTTTAAAGAGTCCTCTCCTGCTGATGTTCAGGTGTATATCAGTATGTAGTGTGTCTACTTTAAAGAGTCCTCTCCTGCTGATGTTCAGGTGTATATCAGTATGTAGTGTCTCTCCTGGGACATGTCTCCATGCTTTAATGTTCAAAAAGCTCTTTATTTTTCTCATACTGCCTGTGCTGCAGCACCTCTTTTCACCCTCTGTCTGAAACCAGAGCCCAGTCTGCTCTGATTGGTTAGCTGGCCGGCTCTGTTGTGATTGGTCAACCGCTTAGAGATGTCCCGCCCCTTAGCCTATCACGTACAATGTGTTGGAGCGCTAGCCAATAGGAGCGCGAGTGTTACATATACAGTAGATGTCACTGTGTAGGTAGAGACGGTTCAATATTTTCCTCTGATATTCTGATATTTTACCCCTAAAATAATATATCATTTAGTAGTTTCTTTATACTTGTATTAGCTTAAAATCTAAGTGTAAAGTAACTAAAGCTGTCAGCTAAACGTAGTTGAGTAATCATTAATATTGGCTTCAGAAATGTATTGGAGTAGAAGTATAAAGTAGCATAAAATGCAAATACTCAAGTTAAATATAAGAACTTCAAACTTGAACTAAATTCCATCACTGATTGTTTTAGTGGTGTTTCTCTGTAGTTTTACCGGCAGCCAAAGGAAGACATTTTAAACGTTTCTCTCCTGCATTGTGTGCGAGCGCTGACTCTCATCACCACCCAGACAAAGGCTGAGTGACGCACAAAGAAAAGGACCTCGTCTAAAGAGAAAGGATGCCTTCAGGGTTGCCTGGAGAGAGAGCAGATAAAGTGAGGCGGTGATAAGACGACCATAGTTCAGTGTTGTTGGTCCGATGCCATGGAGACCATCTGTCTTTGTGAAGAGCCTTTATGCTAACTTGGAGCTAATTCAAAAAGTGTAAATGTTTAATGAATTTACTTTAATACTGTAATCATGTCATGGTGGGGTTAGGAAGGCAGGATCCAATGCAGGATAAAACAGGGGAGGCAGATGGGAGAATATGAACAAAAATAATTGTTCACTTTGAAGCATCATTAATTAAATACACTTTCACTGTCTGGTTTATTTTTTAGATTTGGATAAGACCTTATTTGAATGTAAACACATGAATTTATGATAGCGAGAAGAGAGACAATGTAATTACACACTGTTAAAAAAAATCTATGTTTTTTCTGTGGTTATTGTTGTATTAGCAGTTTCATAAATATTGTCAAATATTATAAAAACAGAAAAGACTACATTTGATAAGTGTAATTCAAAATGTAAATTTGTAAAATAAAAACTAACTTTAAAGGTAAGTTCAATAAAATATAAAATAGGTATTTAAATATTTCACATAATGTATTCATATGGGAAATCTTCATGTTATACATCATATTGAACTATTTGTATTTTTTAAACAATGAACACTTTAATGCATCATTAATTAAATACACTTACACTGTCTAGTTGATTTTTTTGAATTTTCTAATAATTTATTTGACCACAAACATGGTGAATACATTATTATATAATTGAAAATATAATTGTTTTTTTATTTATGTAATACCAGATATGAACACTAGGGGGCAGCGATGCGACAGTAATCAGAATGTGACGCTCTGCTGCACACACCACCACCGAAGAAGAGGAAGAAGAAGCAGGAAGATGAAGGAGGCAGCTGATGACAGATTTTAGGTGAGACGCTATTGTCGAATAAAGCACAACAAAACAGCTTCATAACTCATTTAAAACACGGTAACGCTAAATGTGAATCTCTAAATGTGCATTTAAATATCTAACGGGTTATATTAGTGGTTGTTTTTAGCTTAGTATTAGCTAAATCCGTCCCTGTTGTAAAGCCTATAAGCATAACGTTATGCGTGACGTCACAGTTTGTTTACTGAGTCCATAAGCTGTTTCTGTAAACAACATTTAACTCTAATTATGTTGCATTAAATCGCAGTTATTGTCATTTCAACCCGATATTTTTTTATTTCACAATGACACCGTGTTTACATCTTAATTCGTCCTGTAGTTAAACAGTTAATATTGCATAATACACATCCCCACACACACTAATACACTGTTTATTGAGTCAAAGCTGTTAAAATATTAAGATTTAATTCAATTACAGACTTCCTTAGTGATGCATAAAGCAACAAAGACAGAATACTACAAGAACATATTGAAAAATAATGTGTTTTTTAACCTTCAGAGGATGAACAACAGAGAAGAAATGTAACTGTAAGCATCAGATTTCACTTCAAAGCAGATGTTTTTCTCTGTAGTTAAACTGTGGAGTTTCTTTAAGATTTAAAGGGCTGTATAAACGTGTTTAGGGTTAAGAAAATGTATAAAGAAAGCGTAATTAGACCGTATGAAGACTCTGTTTCTCTGATGGTAGATTGTTGACTTTTGGTTTAATTTTATTCTAAGTATTTGTGAGCAGCTGTGATCGACAGACCGTCTGTTTTTATATTTGAACCCTTGTGTTGTGTTCGAAAGCTGTTACCGTTCATGGTGTTCGCGGGTGACCCATGATTTATCTCAGTCCAAAACACTCACAAATAATGACTATCATCCAATATTGTTTTAACTACATCATAACTAACTTATTATGCATTCATAACCGTACAATCCTGTTGTTATTTAATGTTATGGCCCCAAAACACATGACACCACATATTGCACACGTGCATATGTGAGTTCAGGTTCAAGTGTTAGTGTCAGATTCTTTGAGAAAGGTGGAGTTCCTGTGGGGGGAGGGGGGGGGGGGGGCAGAGGGAGGGGAGACCAGGGGTGTTTCTTAATGTCAAGGAAGGATGCTCCAGAGCCACTATTTCAAGGATACTACGTCATTGAATATTTTTTATATTATTTCTACGTTGAATTTTCCAGCAAACCTTTATTTTCACAAGTTATTTGAAGTTGCTATAATTGAATAAAACAACAAACATATTTTACTTTCTGCTTTATCCATCATTTTTTTGTTTAATTCAGAAGTGAAATTAATGGCAATGATTAGCTTAACAGATTCTTAATCACCAATTATTTTGATGAGCAATTAATCCTCTGGGTCCTTTCAGGGGAAATTGTTGAAAATGCTCCTTTAGTGCTGAGAATAACTGCTTTTATCTGTTTTTCGTTAATAAGAAGTTCAAGGTTCTTTATTGTCAATCTGACATAGCTACAGAGTAATTATGTAGTTGAAAATCTTATGTCACAGGCTTCTCCAACAATGCAACATAATAACATAATAACAATAAGAGCAAGAGCAATACAAAAAGAAAAATAGTTATAATAAAGTGATGATGTGGAATAGTGCAGTACGAGTCTATATACAAGTTATTGGAATGATATATATATATTAGGTATTAGATACATAATACTGAGTAGCAGTTGAATGTTTTGAAGTTGTTTCAACAGTTCAATTTTTAAGAAGTAAATATCTATGGGTTTTGGACTGACAGAGCACATTTGAAGACGAAGGAACTGGGATTTTTCACAATTTTATGACATTTTCCACCAAACTATGAGTAAAAAATAGAGTAATTGTTAGTTTTAACCTAACTGTAGCTACAAGAAGTGACTCTATGCATCTTAAAGTAAGCCTTTGAAGTTAATATCTGTGAGTTTTGGACTCACAGAGCACATTTTAACTCAGATTTTTCACAATTTTCTGACATTTTCCATCAAACTATGAATAAAAAATAGAGTAAATCAAATCAAATCAGGTTCTATTTATATAGCACATTTTAAAACGATTTTTGGTTGAGCCAAAGTGCTGTACATGCAAATAATAAATAACACATTACTACAATCGCAAACAGAAGACAATAAATTACAACAGCAAATATAAAAATCAAACACAGGGAAATGTCATGAGTCGAGAGTAATTGTTAGTTTTAACCTTCCTGTAGCTACAAGAAATGTCGCTACGTATCTTTCAGGTGTAAATGTCAGCGTCTAACCCTCCGTCTGTATCCCCTCTGTCTTCCAGCAGCTTCTATGCTCCAGCTCAGGACTGCAGAAGAAGAAAGCAGCCGCTCCGAGATCTCTCTTCTCCGACAGGCCGTGTTACAAAACGATGCCCGACTCCTCGATGAAATGCTCTGCCAAGAAGTCTACAAAAAAGTCATCAACTGCCGCGGCGGATGGGGCGTTTCGGGCACGCCGCTGCACGCCGCCGTCTCCAAAGGTCACCTGAGTTGCCTTCAGGTGCTCCTGGGTCGCGGGGCACTCGTGGATTGTGTCGACGTCAAAGCTCAAACGCCGCTATTCTCAGCCGTCCGTGGGAAATACCTGGATTGTGTGTTAGCGCTCTTAAAAGCCGGAGCTAACCCAAACGGTAATTCGTCCAATAACTGCTCTCCCGTGCTAACCGCGGCGCGAGAAGGAGACGTGAAGATCTTGAAAGAGTTGCTAGATGGAGGCGCTGAGGTGAATTCTCGCTCTAAAGTTCTCCTCTGGACGTCCAGTGCCAGAGTTTCTAGCGGTCCGCTGTACCTGGCGGCGGTTTACGGACACATGGAGTGTTTCAGACTGCTTCTGCTCTACGGGGCGGATCCGGATTATAACTGCACGGACGCCAAGCTGCTGGGCTCCATCAAGCAGCCCAAGACGGTGCTGGAGATGTGTCTGAGGCACGGCTGCGGGGTGGAGTTCGTGCAGCTGCTCATCGACTTCGGAGCCAACGTCTACCTCCCAACGCTCATCATCGAGAAGTCCACCAAGCAGAACGAGGCCGTGGAGCTGCTGCTGGAGGAGAGAGGTACACAACCATCACTTCTTTAAACTTACAACAAAGGGTCGTTTTAAACAGATTGAATCACTTTGAATATGACCGGTTTCCGCCTTAAACAGCTTGTTAGTAAAGTAAGTAAAAGTACAATTTATTTATAAAGCGCTTTTCACAGACATGCTGTAGTCGCAAAGTGCTTGACGAAACATTAAAACATCATAAAATAATAAATGACCACACAACCCACGTGTTAAGAAGTGCTAAAAACACAATAAAAGCACACGGCAGTGGCTCAGTCAGTAGGGGCTTGGACTGTGAGCCGTAAGGTCGCCGGTTCAAGTCCCCGACCAGACCTAAAATATGGAGTGTGGACTGCTACTTGGAGAGGTCCCAGTTCACCTCCTGCCCTGCCGTGGTGCCCTTGAGCAAGGCACCGGACACCCCCCCTCACTCCCATTGCTCCCCGGGCGCTGTGCACTAGCTGCCCACTGCTCCTAGCACTAGACTCCTGGTGCTAGGATGGGTTAGAAGCAGAGGACACATGTCACTGTGTGCTCTGCATGTGAGACCATTAAAGAGGGGGTTCATCCCTCTGATTCTATCTATCACACAGGTTAGGGAGCGGAGGGTCATTTTAAACAGATTTAATCAAAACAAAGTAGGACTGGAGGTCTTTTTGAATGAGTCCTATAGAAATAACAATGTCCTTATTGGTTACTACTTGAAGGAAAATCGCTTTTAAACTGTAGACGTTAGTGTTGACAGGAGGAAGTTTCCTATCACTATGGTTTTATCCACGAAGCAGAACGAGGAGAGAGGTATGAGGGGACGGCAATCAGAGTGTTTGTGTTACCGTATTACTTCGTGTTACCCGAGTGTTTACTTCCTCTTCTTCGCTCCTCTCTCTGCAGGGAACCCAAAGGCCTTGTCCTCCCAGTGCCGCCTCGCTGTCCGCGCTCACCTGAAGACGATCGACCGGATGCATCTGATCGATCGGCTGGACATGCCGACGCGTCTCGTGAACTTCCTGAAACACAAGCCTGTCTCCGTCCCCGTGCTTTAGAGACAACATGTCCCTCATTTTTATTTAAATCTGTGAACCATCTTGTGTTTAAAATGTCTGCTGTGCTTTTCTGTCTGAACATTAAATGTGTGGATAAGTGCAGAGGGGCTTCTGTTTCATTATTACTTATTAAAAAGTCTGCTTTTTGGGGGTTCTCCCTTTCCTGTAGTGTGTTCTGTAGGTTTGTGTGCATGTTAATGGTCTACAAAGGCTCAAATCCCAATGTTAGACCTGAAAATAAACACAATATGGCACATTTAATACTCACCCTGCAGCTACTGGTAGATCTGCTGCTTCCTCAGTTCTCACTCACACGTTCATCACAAGTTAGTGACCTCACAAAGGAGCTGTTTCTTCTTAGAAAACCTAACAGTTCTGAAACAAATCAGGGTCAGTTTGCTTTAAGACACTCATTTGTTTATGTGTACAAATAAAGTAGGGTAAGAGCAAGAATAAGAGCCATGCAAAACCCTCCTGAAATATAGATACTTGTAAATATATATTATACTTCAGGTCTCATAGTTAGTTCAATCAGGAGAGATGGTTTTGATGTAAGAATACATATTTATTGCAGAGATACTCAAATGAATGTAATGAAGCCAGTCCCCAACTCCGGGGACTCCGGGTGGCTTTTACTCAAGTACTAGATCTGAGTACTTCTACTTTTACTCAAGTACTAGATCTGAGTACTTCTACTTTTACTCAAGTACTAGATCTGAGTACTTCTACTTTTACTCAAGTACAAGATCTGAGTACTTCTACTTTTACTCAAGTACAAGATCTGAGTACTTCTACTTTTACTCAAGTACAAGACCTGAGTACTTCTACTTTTACTCAAGTACAAGATCTGAGTACTTCTACTCTTACTCAAGTACAAGATCTGAGTACTTCTACTTTTACACAAGTACAAGATCTGAGTACTTCTACTTTTACACAAGTACAAGATCTGAGTACTTCTACTTTTACTCAAGTACAACATCTGAGTACTTCTAATTTTACTCAAGTACAAGATCTGAGTACTTCTACTTTTACTCAAGTACAAGATCTGAGTACTTCTCCCACCTTTAAATACTGCACTAGGTAAAAGTTCTGACCTTAGTAGAAGTTTTATCAAAAATGAAATCACAAAAGTGAAAGTACACATTATGCAAAAAATAATAATCCCCAGTTTATTCGAATATTATATAGATTTTATCACCAAAAAACATATCATTTTAACGACCTAGTTTATCAATGTTGAGCCCATTTAAGTTACTTAAAAAAAAATACCGTGTAGAGAAGTAGTAGAGTTTCTGTATAAGTGTATGATGTGTTTGATATGTACAAAGTAGCTAATTACGATCAGTGTTAAATAAAGAAAGCAAAGTAAAAAGTACAATATTTGCATCTGAAATGTGGTTGAGTACAAGTATATGTTGCATCAAATGGAAATACTTCAGTAAAGCACAAGTGTCCTGCAGAGACACCGAGAAGGCAGATGGAGAAGATCAGGGAAACCGCGGATAAGAGTTAGGGTCAGGGTTAATAACCTCTTTAATCTCATTAGACTCTTTACGAGAAGGTAGCAAATCAAACAGATGCTCCTTCCCAGGTACTTTTAGGCCGACATGACAAACACATGTGTTTCGTTTAACATTTAGGCATTTAAACATGTTCTAGTAGAAACTCAAAATGCAGTAAAGCACCTCAACATCTGGATATTGAGTCTCTTTTACTTTAAGACTATTCTTGCACTATTCTTATTCTATTCTATTTATATTTACTTGCACTATTCTATCAGTTTTATTGTGTTGCTCTGCTGGAGGAGCCTGTGACCTCAGATGTTCTTTGATATACAGTGCATCCGGAAAGTATTCATACCCCTTCACTTTTTCCACATTTTGTTATGTTACAGCCATATTTCAAAATGGATTAAATTAATCTGTTTTCCTCACCATTCGAGACACAATACCCCATAATGACCAAGTGGAAAAAGTTTTAAAATATTTGTTGTAAATGAACTAAAAATAAAACACTCAAATATCACATAAACATAAGTATTCACACCCTTTACTCAATACGTTGTTGAAGCACCTTTGGCAGCAATTACAGCCTCAAGTCTTCTTGAGTATGATGCTACACGCTTGGCACACCTATCTTTGGGCAGTTTCTCCCATTCTTCTTAGCAGATCGTCTCAAGCTCCATCAGCTTGGATGGGGAGCAGCCATTTTCAGATCTCTCCAGAGATATTCAATCGGGGTCAAGTCTGGGCTCTGGCTGGGCATGGACATCCACAGACTTGTCCTGAAACCACTCCTCTGTTATCGTGGCTGTGTGCTTAGGGTCGTTGTCCTGTTGAAAGGTGAACCTTTGCCCCAGTCTGAGGTCCAGAGCGCTCTGGAGCAGGTTTTCATCAATGATCTCCCTGTACATTGCTGTATTAATCTTTCCCTTGATCCTGACTAGTCTCCCAGTTCCTGCCGCTGAAAAACATCCCCACAGCATGAAGCTGCCACCACCATGCTTCACTGTAGGGATGGTGTTGGCCAGGTGATGAGCGGTGCCTGGGTTCCTCCAGACACGATGCTTGGCTTTCAGGCCAAGGAGATCCATTGTGGTTTCATCAAACCAGACAATTTGGTTTCTCATGGTCTGAGAGGACTCTAGGTCAGTGGTTCTCAACTGGTCAGGCCTCTGGACCCACTTTTTACTTTGTCAATAAATCGTGACCCAACATTTTGAACCACTCAAATCTATTCAACACAAAATCGTGCTGTAATATTAGGGCTGTGCAATTAATCGTATTTTAATCGCAATTACGATTTTGGCCTGCCACAATTTCGAAAACAACATAATCGAAAAAAACAATTATTTTGCTTTGCTAGGTTGTGACCGTGCACTGCAACATATTTGATCTAATTAATTTTGGTCTCATTTATTTGTATTTATCATATTTATATATGTTTAGTAGCTTGTGGAAGTGCGCTCCAAAATATTTGTTGATCTTGTTTATTGGTATTTATTATTTTGATATTATTTATTTAAATGTATCATTTATTTTATTTATTTTTGTATTGGTTTTTCAGTTGAATTATACGTTCAGGGTAATCAACAGTTAAAAAGATACTGTTCAAATTATTGTTTGTATTTGTTTTATAGTTCAATAAATGGATTTTTTCAAAGTCAATGAATAATCGTATTTAATAATCGTGATATCAATTATTGACCCAAATAATCGTGATTATGATTTTTGCCATAATCGCACAGCCCTATGTAATATATACGTTTTTCAGCATATATTATTAATTAAAGTGAAGTACAGTGCACATATCCCTTCACAGAACTAAAGTATGCTTTTAAAAAAGGTTTAATGAGATGATGGAATCAAAGCTGAACTGTATAACATAAAAAGGCACACATGCTGAAAACCCAACCCCAGAAGGGGGTCTGGGGGGAAAACTACGCATTCTGGTACACTCTGAGAAGAAAATAAATACATCTATTACTATCCGACATATTAATAATATTTGATGCCATTGTTTGTGTTTCACTTTGTTCTGACAGCTTGCTGCTCCACACAGAGAGAAGAGCAAAGAGGAGATAGTCTGTGAATTACTTTAAATTGTGGGTAAGGGTAGATTGCTCCCATTGTTCTGTGAACCTGTCAATCATCAAACCGGGGGTCATATTTCATTATGTGTTCATTTTTATCTGAAGTTGTACCCATGGATGTATAAAGAATAGTTCTACCGCAGAGTTATTCTCCGTGGGGACTTCCGGCAACAATCTTGATTCTGATTGAAAATCCATCAGCAAAGATGTTTTATTGAGAAGATGATCACTACGTGACAGAAGTTTTCAAAACCGTTTATGGTCTCCGGTACTTCCAGTCCAACGCCTACTGCATGCACAGCGTTAGAAAATCGGGCCTTCAAAATAAAAGTCTCTGAGGTCTACAGTCAATTCCTTGGACCTCATGACTTGGTTTGTGCTCTGATGTGCACTGTCAACTGTGTGACCTTAGGTGTGTTCCTTTCCAAGTCATGTCCAATCAATTTAATTTACCACAGGTGGACTCTAGTCAAGTTATAGAAACATTTCAAGGATGATCAGTGGAAACGGGATGCACTTGAGCTCAATTTTCAGTGTCAAAGCGAAGGGTGTGAATACTTATGTATATGTGATATTTAATACAATTATTTTTAACACGTTTGCAAACAAATATTTTAAAACGTTTTCGCTTGGTATTATGGGGTATTGTGTGTGGGATATTGAAACCAAAAATGAATTGAATCCATTTAGGAATAAGGCTGTAACATAACAAAATGTGAAAAAAGTTAAGGGGTATGAATACTTTCCGGATGCACTGTATCTACACTGTAGCTATGTACACATGACAATAAAAGCCTTGAATCTTGAAAATCTTGAATCTTTTGATCGCTCTTGTTCCTCCTTACCTGACTTGAGCCTCAGGTATGATATCGTCCACCACCACGTACACCATCGCTCCGGCAGCAAACGCCAACGCGTACGGCAGCAGAGGTTCAGCCAGGACGACAGCGAGGGCGCCCAGGACCCCAGCGATGGGCTCTACCATGCCGCTGAGCTGGCCATACCTGACGGGAAACAGTGATAATCAGTTAGAGAGTCGACATTTAAAGTATCTGTACCTAAGGGGCACTAACCCCAACCCAGAGGTGGGAAGTAGTGGAGTACAAATACTTTGTTACTGTACTTAAGTACATTTTTCTGGTATCATTACTTTACTCCACTACTTATTTTTTACTTTTTACTACACAAATACCTGTACTTTCTACTTCTTACATTTTGAACACAAATACCTGTACTTTCTACTTCTTACATGTTGAACACAAATACCTGTACTTTCTACTTCTTACATGTTGAACACAAATACCTGTACTTTCTACTTCTTACATGTTGAACACAAATACCTGTACTTTCTACTTCTTACATGTTGAACACAAATACCTGTACTTTCTACTTCTTACATGTTGAACACAAATACCTGTACTTTCTACTTCTTACATGTTGAACACAAATACCTGTACTTTCTACTTCTTACATGTTGAACACAAATACCTGTACTTTCTACTTCTTACATGTTGAACACAAATACCTGTACTTTCTACTTCTCACATGTTGAACACAAATACCTGTACTTTCTACTTCTTACATGTTGAACACAAATACCTGTACTTTCTACTTCTTACATGTTGAACCCAAATACCTGTACTTTCTACTTCTTACATGTTGAACTCAAATACCTGTACTTTCTACTTCTTACATGTTGAACTCAAATACCTGTACTTTCTACTTCTCACATTTCCCAAACAGGCTGGTTCCTTTAGTTTGAATGTGTGTTTGGTGGCGTGATCATTATTATTTAGAGTCATTGCGTGCCTATTGATTTGAACACGATCCGTGTATCCATCATTTCCTGGTCTTCTCTAAAGAAGAGGGACCAATGAAAACGTTGTCATGTTGCCGTTGTTCAGCATGGAAACATTCATTAGCTAACAATGACATTATTGTTCTATTAATATAAAGGGAGGTCAGGTACTCTTTAAAACAGCTGCTAGTTATGGGTACTTTTTACTGAAGTACATTTCAAAGCCCTCTTTACTTTTACTTGAGTAAAGAAGTTTAGTCAGTACTTCTACTTTCACCAGAGTACTTTTAAACACGAGTATCTGTACTTCTACTTGAGTAAAGGATGAGTGTACTTCTGCCATCTCTGCCCTAACCCTACCTGACGGGAAACAGTAATGGTCAGTTAGAGCCTTGACATTTAAAGTATCTGTACCAAGGGGCACTAACCCTAACCCTGGGTGCAGAAAGAAGTCAGATTGTATAGACGACTATGAGAAAATGACCTTACTTCTCACTCTATGAATTACCTCAGTTAATGGTCTCATTCCCAGTCCTATATGGGGATATTTAGAGGGTCAGTAAGCTGTCTGTTATTGGGGAAGTGGTCCATGGTGGCCTAATCTTTTCCAAAGTGAGGTGATATTATTGTATTTCCTTACACAGTGTTTAGAAACAGACTCATGCTTTTCCTTACCAGAAGGATTTCCATGTTGACATCCCTGAACCTCGGAGCGGCAGGCTCACCGCTAAGCCTTCTGGGAAATTCTGGATGCCAATACCGATGGCCAAATTTCTGAGGACACAAAAAACAAACAAAAAACAGTCAGAAAACAAGACATTCAGAGGGAAACATGAAACTACAAGTTACAATACAACGTTGTTGAAATATGTTGTAAAACCCATTTTCCATTACATTACAGTATATCAATAATAATAATAATAATACATTACATTTTTATTGCGCTTTTCCTGGAGCTCAAAGACACTTACAAAAAGAAAGAAATCAAGACCATCTTCTGCTGGTGGGGCTACACATAAATATTGCATGCCCCAGATCTTGATGCTGATTCTATAAGGACATATGAGCAATCATGCTAATCAATTAACTTCTTTTTGATAATGTTGAATCTGTAGGAGTTTTGCATCATGCTAATGTTTTTTGTTTTAATTCAGACACAAAAAGGACTTTGTGCTCGCAGTTTGTTTAAATGGTAAACATACAGAGGCTTTGGACATCTCTTATCTCTTCAATATGTCAACAAGACTCAATGGTGCAATGTGAACTTTTAACCACTCTGGTAAACATTAACAGTTTCTTCTTTTAAATCTGACAGAGATACCTGAAGCCTCTCAGACCGAGGAACCCATTACCACTGGATCGTTGTTGATTGATTATTTTTACAGTTCTCTTCTCATAAGGTAAGTTAATGCTTCTTCCAAATAGACTGTGCTTCAAAACAACAATGTACACATACTGTCCTATTTAGGTTTTTGGGTATAGGTTTTTGTATTCACTGAGTTTTTATATAACTTTGTATACCTTGATCTGGGTCAATATTCGATTCTGATTGCCTGCAAGTTGCAAGGAGTTCTTATCAAAACAGCTTTTCCTTATGTATGGACAGAAGATAGGCTCTTTACTACACAATCAGTTAACTAACACAGACGTCACTAAACTTTCTTCTGCTCTTTGTGCTCCCAGCCAAACAGAAAATGGGCCAGGGCCCGTCAATACCTCCGGAACAGCGACTTGCTCAGCTTGAAGTGTTTTCAGAAGAACTGTTTGCTTCAAGCCAATGGCAGGGTATTGGAATTGACAGGTATGCATTGTTCAAAGAAAATACATGTCAGTGTTTCAACTTTTGAAGATACTATATATTTTATACAAACCATTTAATGATTTTGATCTTGTGCCGTCATTGGGTCAGGATTTTATTCGTCAAAGGGCATTTGAGAAGTACCCAATAACAGCAAGTGGGACAAGTCTAGGGTTCATGAGAACTAGGAACCTTCAACAGGCTGACCCGGTGAACCCTAGACACTAAAATAGTTGTTTAAAAAGGTTTGTTTGTTTACTTTTAACCATCACAAGATGCTCCCACAGAGCTGCAACAACGTACTTATCTCTGCAGATCCTCCCTCTCAAGCCGTCGGTATACTATCAGAATAATTACTCGCTAACAAACATCAATAGATCTCCATAAACGACTGCCAATCCGACACTGTCCTAGTCACTCATGGTGTCCCCCAGGGTCCAGTCCCTCGGTCCCCTTCTTTTTGCACTGTAAATCCTTCCCCTCTGACAAATCCTGCTTCCCTGCCATACCGATAACATTCAACTTTAACCTCCAAAGTCTTCTTACTGATATTAAATCTTGGATGCAACAGAACTTCCTTCAACTCCACTGCAACCCATCAGAAACACTCAATCAGCCCAACTCTGACATACAGTTACAATGAATACATGCTTAGCCATGAGATAACTGACCATATCAGAGTACATTAGACCCATGATCAGACCAATGATCACCCACTGTGTGGTCACATGACACTTTGTGACTGAACACCTTCCTGAATCCTGAGATCTACTGTCTCTTGACATGTAAGGCTTAGAGAATATTATTATTTATATGTTAAATATAACATTATAGCAATCAATTCTCTGATAATCATAATTTCCATTACAGAAGACTAATGAGTATTTCTCTGCACTCAGCTCCCTGCTAAGTTACTCTGGACTCAACTCAAATGATGTGCTGGTCAGATACCGTGACCAAGTCTTCGATGTTCCAAGTGCTGTGGAGAAGCTGGGTGCTGCATTCGCTGGGTTCACAACGGTGCCCAACGCTGTGGGACTCGGTGCTCTCATAATTTCCATGATCTTAGAGTCAGTCGGGAAAAGCATGGGGAAAAAAACCATGGGCACGGCTGAAATGTTGCAGAGGGTGTTTGCAGACGAGAAGGCCAAAGAGGTGAGACCCTGATGGTTCCTTGGGTTATTAACAGGTTGCTAAGGTTAGCTGTCGCAACTTCCTTCCTTTGTTTCCATTAAGCCTCTAAAAACAAACATTTTAACGCGTTATCTTTTAATTTATATATTTTACTCACAGCTGTGACGACTTGTTTGTGTTGTGTTGAAGTTGTGCGACTAGTGGTTATTCAGAACATAACTATTATATTCATATTATTTTCACACATTCAACAAAGAAAATAGGCTTTCATATAGTCGATCAAATCAAACCAAAAGAGGCTAAACTCAAATCAAATGATAAACACATTTATATTGTTTTCTTTGCATATCTGTGTCTCCTAAAGGCTTGGGAATTGTAGTCTTTCATAGTCTCTTGACTACAGAGGTCGCCACTAGGTGACAATATTTTTTTCTTTTCTACAAAACCAAAAAACTGTCTCTAACATTAAGTAATATTTATAAAATGTATGATTTTATTTCAGAACAAATGTTTAACCTTTTAAAGTTAACCCTTCAAAATCGATATATAAAACGTTTATCTGACCAATATTTGAAATAGGCTTTCATAAATGTTGACATTCTTTTACTGTGAAGGTCCGAGACCTGATGGACGAGTATTTGAAGCGTCTGCAGATCAACTTGGGGAACCCACTGCTCCAACTAGATGAGATCCGGCTAATAGAGCTCTATCTCAGTGCAAAGCTAACGCGGCTAAAGGTACAACCGAGTACAAGTCTTCCAGCTGTATTTGAAGGATCATGCTACATTGTGATATCTCCTGTAATGTCCTTCTCAATCACTAATTCCCTCATTTGTATAAACTGTTTCTCAGGAGGTCCTTTGAGGAATTCAATTTAACTTAAAACGTTAATTCAACCGTTAACTCAAATGTAAATTGTAAAGTGGGATAGGCTAGACAAGCATAATGTACACTGCCTTCTATTCTGTATATTTATATTGTGTATTCAATGTATATACTCTATAGATATAAATATCCTCATTATTGATATGTTTATATTCACTGTTTTGCATATTTAGTTAATCTTGGCGACGAAACAGTTTCCCAAATTGGGATCATTAGAGTATATTTGATCTTAATCAGAAAGTAATCCTATTGTCGTGGTGTTTTAATCTGTTTCTACATTTAATAACCACTTCCGTCTATCTATCTAACTTCTTCTAGTGTGACTCACACAAATAAATAGTTAAGAGTTTTAAGACAAACATTCAAACCATAATGATGAAAGGAAAATGGCTCTAACACCTATTGTGCTCTTTTTTCTTTCCCAGAACTCCATGCTGGTCGATGGACAGATGAACTCTAGGCTTCTGAAGCAGTGGGTGAACGGCGCTGCGTTTCACACCCAGATGTTGATCCATCAGGCTCGTCTGGAGGAGGCCAACGGGTCGAGAGCGGTGTCAGCAGCGGGCTTTTATCAGCAACAGCTCAACGTTATTATGGACAGATACAAGAAGTACCTGAATGGAATTACAAGTATAAAATCATATTGGATCGCATATGGACGACCATCGTGTGATCTGGATTTCAAAGAGGGGCCGGTGTCTGGTTATATATGGTGCTATATGGACAATTTCTTCTGTGTCACCGGAACTGAACTGGTTGAGCATTTGTTTTCGAAACAGCAGATTTCTTGGACAAAGAGTTATTTCTCAGACTTAGCAGCCAATATTCCGGCTCTGGTGAGACAACATGACAACTTTCAAATCGGAAACCGACATTGAAGCTCTTTGTTTGTAAAGCCATGAGACCAACATCAAACCAAACTTTACTCTTAAACTCAAAAAGGCAAATATTTTAAACTGGACACACAACAGATGTCCAGACTAAGAGATTGCAACAACTATTGCTATGAAATTTGGTTTATCCATCCATGGTGACCATAGGATGAATCCTGATGACCCTTAATGTTTCTCCTATTAAGTGAAATTATCAAGTCCACATTTATAATTTGCCCAATAATTTGGTTTATGTTAAAAAAACTGCAAAACTAAACATTCCCATAATCCTCAGCTGTGCTTTGTGTTTCTGTAAATGAAAGTAATCTGACGCAATTTAGAAAAACGGTACACACAGTGACCGTTAAACCTGTTAGCATATGTTAGCATAGTCATGAGTGAATATTGAGAGCCTCAAAAAACATACATTGAAGACAAGTGTTGATCATGTTTAATTATAGAAATACTTTGTTATTCAGAGTAAACATCAGCATTTAAACAATTCAACAACATGTGATTCCTCAGACCGGCCAGCAGGGGGCAGCAGAGTCCTGAAAGGAAGAAGGCACTACATCTGTTTACAGGAGACTGACATTTGTTTGTTTTAAATGTGTTAAGAGTGTAAACAAACACACCACATTGTGTGTCAAAACAGAACAGAATAAGCATAAATTACCAAATTAAACATCAGAACTTCAAGTATTGCCATCATGAGGAAATACAAACATGGGAAGGAGGATCAAATTATAAAAAAATAACATTATTTTAACTTTTACAACTAAGATATATTGTTTTAAAACTCAAAAGAGAACAAAACAACCACAAATGCTGGAATCATGAGAATATCCGTTAAATATTTATTATAAATTCATTCCTAAATTTGAGAAACACACTCATCAAAATATTTTTTTCCACTGCTAAATTAAATAAGCAACAATTCAAAACAAAACGGATTAACAGCGTTTCAGGAATAAAACACTTCATTTGGTCCCATTTAAAAAAAACAAAAAACTACAGCCAGCAGCACAGTGACGACATCACAGCCATCGAGTGTTCTGTTGCCATGGCAACACAGTGATCTTAACCCAGCCCCACGTCCAGTGACATCATCACCACGAAGCCCACGATGGAGGTCCAGGACGCAAGTTTCCCGTTTCCACTGGAGACAAAAAGTAGAGATTTAGTGAGAAGAAGGAGCAATGTGTAGTACAAGGTCTGAGTACTTCTACTTTTACTCAAGTACAAGATCTGAGTACTTCTACTTTTACACAAGAACAAGATCTGAGTACTTCTACTTTTACTCAAGTACAAGATCTGAGTACTTCTACTTTTACTAAGTACAAGATCTGAGTACTTCTAATTAATTAAAGTAGAAGTGTCATTACATTACATTGCATTGCATTTAGCTGACGCTTTTATCCAAAGCGACTTACAATAAATGCATTCGACCAAGAAGATACAAACTTGAAGAAAACAGAATCATATAAGTACATCAGGTTTCATAAAGCTAAAACATTTCAAGTGCTACTCAACTGGCTTTAGATAAGCCAGTCCTTTATTAGTATATAAGTGCTCTGTTAGTAATTCTATCGCTCGAAGTGGAGTCGAAAGAGATGAGTTTTCAGTCTGCTCTGGAAGATGTGTAAGCTATCTGCTGTCCTGATGTCAATGGGGAGCTCATTCCACCATTTTGGAGCCAGGATAGCAAACCCATGTGTTTTTGCTGATGGGAACTTGGGTCCCCCTCGCAGTGCGGGTGCAGCGAGCCGATTGGCCGATGCAGAGCGGAGTGCACGTGCTGGGGTGTATGGTTTAACCATGTCCTGGATGTAGGAAGGGCCAGATCCATTCACAGCATGGTACGCAAGTACCAGTGTCTTGAAGTGGATTCTAGCAGTTACTGGAAGCCAGTGAAGGGAGCGGAGGAGCGGTGTGGTGTGGGAACATTTAGGAAGGTTGAAGACCAGACGAGCTGCTGCATTCTGGATGAGCTGCAGAGGTCGGATGGCACATGCAGGTAGACCAGCCAGGAGGAAGTTGCAGTAGTCTAGGCGTGAGATGACGAGAGCCTGGACCAGAAGCTGCGTCGCTTTCTGGGTCAGGAGGGGACGTATCCTCCTGAAGTTGTAAAGCGTGTATCTGCAGCAGCGGGTTGTGGCAGCGATGTTTGCAGTGAAGGACAGGTTGTTATCTAGGGTCACACCCAGATTCTTTGCAGTCTGAGTCGGGGAAACAATAGAGGTGCCGATGTTGATTGTTAGGTGAAGAGTGGGACAATCTTTTCCCGGAAGGAAAAGCAGTTCAGTCTTGTCAAGGTTGAGCTTGAGGTGGTGAGCAGACATCCACTGAGAGATGTCTGCTAGACAAGCAGAGATGCGTGCGACGACCTAGGTCTCTGAGTGGGGAAAGGACAGAATTAATTGGGTGTCGTCAGCGTAGCAGTGGTATGAAAACCATGCGGGCTAATGACAGATCCGAGCGAGTTTGTGTACAAGGAGAAGAGGAGGGGACCAAGAACAGAGCCCTGAGGGACCCCTGTAGTTAATTGACAAGGGTCGGACTCGGACCCTCTCCAAGTTACGCTGTAGGTGCGGTCTTTGAGGTATGAGGTGAGGAGGGAAAGTGCAGAGCCTAAGCATACAGCCACGATAACAGAGGAGTGATTTCAGGACAAGTCTGTGAATGTCCTTGAGTGGCCCAGCCAGAGCCCAGACTTGACCCCGATTGAATAGGCGCTTTCACACCGGAGTACTTTTCCCAGGAATAGTTCCAATAGTTCCTGGGATTTTGCGTTCACACCAAAAATATCTGGAAATAGAACTTTTTTTCGGGAACCTTTTCACCCCTTTTCAGTCCCTGCTAGAGAGGTGGTACTTTCCTGGGGAGGAAAAGGTTCCAATTTCTGATTGGCTGGGCGGATTGCAAACCACGCCCTGTAAAACTCCGAAAAGTTTTGTGAGGCCACCATTTTATTTGCTCGCATTATTAGCATTAGCCCCGCGCACCAACGGAGAGAGAATAACTTATGGCAACACAAAAGAAAGCATGGGAGCGGTGGAGTGATGAGGAGGTGTCGGCGTTCTGGCGATTTACTCGGAAGGCTTCAGTAGAAGCTGCTGGGAGTCCCAGCAGCTTCTACTGAAGCCAGTCCCCAACTCCGGGGACTTCCGGCCGGGTTCTTGGTCACCTCTCTGACTAAGGCCCTTCTCCCCCGATGTTCAGTTTGGTTTGGGCAGCAAGCTTTAGGAAGAGCCCTGGTGGTTTCAAACATCTTCCATTCGCAAATGATGGAGACCACTGTGCTCGTTTGGACATTCAATGCTGCAGATATTTTTCTGTACCTTTCCCCAGATCTGTGCCTTGATACAATCCTGTCTCTGAGGTCTACAGTCAATTCCTTGGACCTCATGACTTGGTTTGTGCTCTGATGTGCACTGTCAACTGTGGGACCTCATATAGACAGGTGTGTTCCTTTCCAAGTCATGTCCAATCAATTTAGTTTACCACAAGTGGACTCCAATCAAGTTACAGAAACATTTGAAGGATGATCAGTGGAAACGGGATGCACTTGAGCTCAATTTTCAGTGTCAAGGCAAAGCGTGTGAATACTTATGTATATATGTGATATTTATTTTAATTATTTTTAACACGTTTGCAAAAACATATTTTAAAACGTTTTCGCTTTGTCATTATGGGGTATTGTGTGTGGGATATTGAGAACAACAATGAATTTAATCCATTTAGAAAAAGGCTGTAACATAACAAAATGTTAAAAAAGTTAAGGGGTATGAATACTTTCCGGATGCACTGTATCTACACTGTAGCTATGTACACATGACAATAACAGCCTTGAATCATGAAAATCTTGAATCTTTTGATCGCTGTTGTTCCTCCTTACCTGACTTGAGCCTCAGGTATGATATCGTCCACCACCACGTACACCATCGCTCCGGCAGCAAACGCCAACGCGTACGGCAGCAGAGGTTCAGCCAGGACGACAGCGAGGGCGCCCAGGACCCCAGCGATGGGCTCTACCATGCCGCTGAGCTGGCCATACCTGACGGGAAACAGTGATAATCAGTTAGAGAGTCGACATTTAAAGTATCTGTACCTAAGGGGCACTAACCTTAACCCTATATGTTAGAAACATATCACTAATCTTTTCCAAAGTGAGGTGATATTATTGTATTTCCTTACACAGTGTTAGAAACAGACTCATGCTTTTCCTTACCAGAAGGATTTCCATGTTGACATCCCTGAACCTCGGAGCGGCAGGCTCACCGCTAAGCCTTCTGGGAAATTCTGGATGCCAATACCGATGGCCAAATTTCTGAGGACACAAAAAACAAACAAAAAACAGTCAGAAAACAAGACATTCAGAGCGAAACATGAAACTACAAGTTACAATACAGTATTTTATATGTTGTAGTCTTTTTTGTCACGCCCTGGCTCAAGGACGGACAAAAGAAGGAGACCACACATGATTCATTTCCTATTAAAGAACATTTATTTAAAGAAACTAAGTTAATTATGAAGTCAGTGGGAGCCATGAAACGTGTAAAGTAATGCGTTTTGTTTTAATATAAGATATTTGTTTGATCACTATTGGTTGGCTGGCTTGGGTCACATGGATATGGGCGGCACTCATTATAATCCTGTTCACCTGCATGAGGTGTGTGTGACAGAGTTTTGATCTCAGCAAGTACTCTTTTTTAGCGTGTCATACAACATCAAACAGGCCCGGCCTCAGCCTCTCAGCGACTTTGTTTGTTTCCTGCTGTCGCTATAGTCAGTTAATCAGTAATGTGTGTAGTGTGTGGGTATTTGAACATGCATCAGTCAGAGTTTCCGTTAGCCGGTAATTACCGGACTTTGACCGGTAAAATATGCTGAAGACCGGCAGATCTAAATCTCTCCGGTCAAAATAATTTCCCCTTCGCGCAACACCGCATCAGTTGCGCCACTTATGTGACAGACAAGAAGAGTGCATTCTAATGTCCTACATTTAAAGGTGGGGTAGGTCATTTTGGAGAAACCAGCTCGAGATCGCTAGAATTTGAAAATACACGACCGGAGAAAATCTGCCACTTCCTTACAGAGCCCCGCCTCCAACACACACGAACGCGCACATGACCAATGAGGGCACGAGATAAGTTTGTGCACAGATGGAAGGCTGACAGGCAGGTAGGCCATCCAGTTATTTTAGCCGGGCCGGCTAAAATGATTGGTCGTGCTTTTTACAGTACTACAGCTTCCACAGATGACATTTTTTTATGGATTTTTTGTCAAAGCACTTCAGATATTCATTGCTATCGGGATGTTAAGAGCATTCCATGGAATATAACAAAAAGTGTATCTCGAGCCGGTTTCTCAAACTTACCTACCCCACCTTTAATATGGAGAACGAGATTTATCCTCCTGAAGGGGACATTTTGACCCCTCATGTAAACAAATGCATAATGCTGCGCTATACCTGGCCGCCACACCCCTAAGCAACGCTTATTGTTTGGTGTACACACAATTCAAGTTAGACCTAACACACTTAGCTATTTTATCTACCTCTTGAACAAGTTAAACTAGTTATAAATATGTTTATTCTTTACTGTCGGGTCACTCATTACTGGATCAGTGAGCTGCATGAGATACTGACAGGCTGTCAGGAGAGAGAGAGAGGGAGAGAGAGGCTCTGTTTATTATTCCCTTGTTATTATCCAAAGTTACTGGACACTTTTGAATAATGTAGTTAATCTACTATAATTAGTTTGTTTAATATAGAGTCATTATCAATTTGTTTTAAAGCTCAATAAATAACAAAGAAGACCTTTGACCGGCACTTTTCTCATTTTGTCCGTAAAATGTAAACTTTAACGGACATGTTGACCGGCAAAAAAAAAATTCTAACGGAAACTCTGGCATCAGTATATAAAGCAAAGTAAAACCCATTCTCTATTACACTACGGTATATCAAGACCATCTTCTGCTGGTGGCGCTACCATCCAATGATGATCCATTCAATAGTTGTTAAAATATTTCAGGCCCTAGATCTTAATGCTGATAAGGACGTATGAGCAATGGTGAAAATCAATTAACAGGACTTCTTTTTGATAATGTTGAATCTGTAGGAGTTTTGCATCATGATAATGTTTTTTGTTTTAATTCTGAAAGAACAGACACAACAAGGACTTTGTGCTCGCAGTTTGTTTATACATCACTTATGTCTTCAATATGTCAACAAGACTCAAGTTAACTTTTAACCACTCTGGTAAACATTTAACAGTTTCTTCTTTTAAATCTGACAGAGATACCTGAACCGTCTCAGACCGAGGAACCCATTACCACTGGATCGGTGTTGATTTTTTTTTACAGTTCTCTTCTCAAAAGGTAAGTTAATGCTTCTTCCAAAAAGACTTTGTTTCAAAACAACAATGTACACATACTTTCCTATTTAGTTTATTGGATTAGGTTTTTGTATTCACTGAGTTTTTATATAACTTTGTATACCTTGATCTGGGTCAATATTCGATTCTGATTGCCTGCAAGTTGCAAGGAGTTCTTATCAAAACAGCTTTTCCTTATGTATGAACAGAAGATAGGCTCTTTACTACACAATCAGTTAACTAACACAGACGTCACTAAACTTTCTTCTGCTCTTTGTGCTCCCAGCCAAACAGAAAATGGGCCAGTGGCAGTCAGTACGGGAAAGTGGACTTGCTCAGCTTGAAGTGTTTTCAGAAGGACTGTTTGCTTCAAGACAATGGCAGGGTATTGGAATTGACAGGTATGCATTGTTTACTGCCCAAATGAAAATACATGTCAGTGTTTCAACTTTTGAAGATATATATTTTATACAAACCATTTAATGATTTTGATCTTGTGCCGTCATTGGGTCAGGATTTTATTCGTCAAAGGGCATTTGAGAAGTACCCGATAACAGCAAGTGGGACAAGTCAGGGATTCATGAGAACTAGGAACCTTCAACAGGCTGACCCGGTGAACCCTAGACACTAAAATAGTTTTTTAAAAAGGTTTGTTTGTTTACTTTTAACCATCACAAGATGCTCCCACAGAGCTGCAACAACGTACTTATCTCTGCAGATCCTCCCTATCAACTTCGGTATACTATCAGAATAATTACTCGCTAACAAACATCAATAGATCTCCATAAACGACTGCCAATCCTACACTGTCCTAGTCACTCATGGTGTCCCCCAGGGTTAGGGATGGGTACCGAGCCCCGGTATTAAACGGGCCCCGGGGCTGAATTATTAAAGACCGTGGTACCGTTAATCTCCAACGTTATCGGTCTTTTTATCGGTACTGGAGACATCTAAAAAATATGTCATGTGTATTATTGCTACACAAACATTATATTGCAGTTTTAGTGTCGCCAACTCCGTTTCTAACACGCAAAAAGACTGCAAAATGCGTCATTTTTAGTATTTTCGATCTCTCCAATCCAGACGAGAGATCTCTCTCCCCCGCCTGTGTGCGAGGGGGCGGGGCAGTTTACACACACACACAGCTGCTACATGCAGCAACACACACACACGGAGGAGATGGCGGAGAGAACGCGTTCCGAGGTGTGGTTCAACTTTACCCGTCTCGCTCGTTGCCTAAAGTGCAATAAGAGTTTAGCATGTCAGGGCGGTAACACGAGAAATTGGTCTAAACATTTAGCAAAAGTGCTCCACATTCAGACGGAGGAATGCACCGGGTTTGACTGTCTTAGTAGCTCTGTTGCCCCATCCACGAGTAACGTTTCCACGTCAGGTGTTATGTATGCTAGCAGCAACACACGGAGCTAACTCAATGATACAAAAACATGGGTTGATGATTAGAGGTAACTGAGTTATTTAGTTTGTTAAAGTTTCAGCCATTCTGTTCACAGTTCTGTCATCACATTATTTAAAGGGCCCATGTCATGGCCATTTCCACTGATCATAATTACATTGTTGAGGTATACTAAAATAGATTTATACTGTGCAATTTTCCAAACTCACATTGGTTTCGCATACAGCATCTCTGTCAAGCATGTGTATTCAGCAGTATTCACTTTCTCCACTAAACGACTCGTTGGAGCTCTTGCCCCCCCTCCCTGTGAGCCTAGTGTGCTCCGATTGGTCAGCTCGGCCACTCGTTCTGATTAGTCAACCACCAGAGAGGCTGCGCCCATGTCAGTGCTTTTCCCGGCTGCTCTCAGCGTAACATCAGTCTTATCATGGCGTCGGTACAGCGGTATATTTTATATACATATATATTTTTAACTGTTGTTATAGAAGAGTGTGACGGCCTCAGGGCCTTTGTCTTACGGTGGGGTGGAGCTGAAGAGGGTAATCAGCGCGATCACGGACACCTCCGTAGCCGGTGCTATTAATCCCAGCGGCCCGGAGTCTCTCTCCAAAGCGGCTGCAGAAGGACGAACTGAGCGACCCTCTCCCCTCGACCACCTGTCTCTGCATTTACTACAATAAATGTGCCGTGGTTTTGTAAACTCGTGTATGTCTCCTTGTCTTTCCGTTGTGGCCTACGAGCTACTCTCATAACAAAGAGTAAGTTATTTTTACCCGTTATAAACTACTACTGTTTGATGAGAAATCAAATCATGGTTTGCTATATATGAATTCAGGGAAGAAAGGATAGGCCTACTAAGTATTTCCATTAAACTTTATTTTTAGAAATGTACAAAATGAACATAATATACATATATACACGGTATATCATCCATTCCTCCTCCTCGCATCTTGCCTGCGCACAGTCGGTGCGGTGCCTTTTAGCACCCTCAGTAGTAGTAGAATCCCTTCCCCGTCATGGATTGTCCGCCAGGATCTGGCTGGACGAAATCAAATGCAAATCACAAAATATTAGAGAAACTTAGTTGTTTTAGATTCGTTAGTAGTAGTTGTGTAATGAACAGCTTGCCTGCTAATATGCTAACCTAGCTTTGTTTACCTTGGTAGCTAACACGATATGAACGTTAGCTTGGAGGAAAGGCAACTATAATGCAGTGTAATAAAACTACTATGAACAAAAGCTAGTGGTTCATATTAGGCTAGCAATAACGTGTTTATAATTGCAATCGTATACGGGTATTCTGCTACGTTCGGTCATACAATGTAACTTGCATGAATACATTGTTTTGCGCTAGCATACAGCTAGCCTCGTTAGCTACATGCAGTATATGTACGGTCACAATGTACGGTAAATTACAGTACAGTATACTGTATGAGTATTCCGTGTGTGTGACTGCAGACATTCTCCTGCCATGACAAACATGTAAGGCCATCTGCTGACATTGTAGTTGATATATTTAAACGCTAGCAACGTAGCATC